AACAAGAGTTGCTAATCTATGGACAACTAGTGCTGCCTTGTCAAAACTTCCTTCTTTGGTGGAACTCCGGTTTCAAAAGTGCTTATGTTGTGAGGACACTGGGCCATGTCCTGCTTTATCTAGTGACATAGCAGATCTTGTCTGTGACAAGACTGGTTCAGGTCGTTTGAGCAAGTGTTCTTACGCCGAGGCACCATCCATTACTAGTGGAGATGTTACATTTCAAGATTCTAGTAGAAATGAGGCAACTGGGAACTTGGTTTCTAATGGGGATTCATATATGTTTCATGAATTTCAATGCATGCCTGAGGATCCATTGGGTGATAGTGTGGTTGAATTTTTATGTCAGCTTCAAAGAATTGGTGTACTGGATATCTCATGTGATGCTCATCCTGTATTGAATGGACTGACGAATTTGCAAATTGAGGTTAGAACACAATTTTGCTTCTAATTCTGGTACACTTAATGATTAAACCAAGAAGGTTTAAATTCTTGATTATCTGATGATGGTATTTCAGTTTGTGTAGCAGGTTTCTTCTGGCAAATTGCACGTTCAAGACAAAGATGGGTCTCCTGTCAGTGCAATTTACTGGGATTTAGCAGATGCTTCTGTTGCATTGAAGAAGTATGTTTCACATCATCCTTCACCCATCTGCTTTGAGAAATATTATAGGGAATACATGATTGCTTCATTGCCTTGTTTGGAAGTCTTGGATAATTTGCCCATCAGAAAATTGGACAGGGAAATGGCCCGGACTATTGTTTCAGAATCTTACGAGTACTTACCGTATAGACGAAAGCAAAAGGAGAGTGTTGTAAGTGTTTTGCATATGCGTGAAACAGGAACTAGTATTCACTACCAAAATTCTTCCAGGTTAAAGCAGCCATCTCGCCACTTAAAAAGTCAATGTTTCTACACAAGGTCCCTTTGTGCTGCCAATCTTGCTGCATGGCCACTCTCACATCCAGTGTCCAATATCAGCCATTTTGGCAAAGATGAAGGTGTAAATTTTCGGCCAAGGCAGTTTGAGTATCATCCATCTAACTCTACTCTAATGGTTTTTGGAACTCTGGATGGGGAAGTAGTTATTATCAACCATGAGAATGGGAACGTTGTTCAGCATATTCCATCCATGGGAGCGACAGGCAGTGTTCTGGGACTCTGTTGGCTTAAGAAGTATCCATCCAAGGTATGCGATTACCTTAGGAACTATTTAAAAGAGAACTCAGGTTTGTTTTAAAATCATCCCATCTAAAAGATATTCTGAATATAAAGCCCAACTATGGTGAAATCATGCTTTTAAACAGAATCAATTTCAAAGGCATTTTAATAATCATTTTAGTTTCAAATGTCATGATACTGAATGCACATAAAATGGGCTTTGGATTTACCATAAGACGTGTCTGTAAGATCTCTGACTCAACATCCAATTTGAATTACCGTGGTAGCCATTTTACATTCACTAATAATCCATAGCCCATACGCTTGAATGTTCTGACAATTTTTCAACAGATATCAACTTTGCCACTACATTTTAATCTTGTTTGTGAGGGCAATTGCTGATATTTATTTCTTGTGTTGAACAAACAGCTGCTTGCTGGTTCCGATAATGGTTCCTTGAGATTGTATGACATTAACCATATGCTGCCGAAAGTTGCAGACGGCCTTTTCAGTTCCAGTATTGTTACCTTTGATGACTTTGAGCAGTTGACTTCTGTTCATGTCAATTCAACTGATGATCAATTTCTTGCAAGCGGTTATTCAAAACATGTTGCTCTGTATGACATTGGGAGTGGGAGACGGCTACAGTTATTCACTGATATGCATCAAGAACCCATTAATGTTGCTAAATTTGCTCACCATTCCCCGTCCATATTTGTCACTTCATCATTTGACCGTGATGTCAAGATGTGGGACTTGAGACAGAAACCAGTACAGCCTTGCTATAAAGCTTCAAGCTCAAGAGGAAATGTAATGGTTTGCTTCTCTCCTGATGACCTCTATCTGCTTGTGTCAGCTGTTGACAATGAGGTATTGCAATTAAAATTAGATATGACTTACAGTTTGTCAATATAGAATATTAACTCCCCATATAAATGTATCACGATGAACTGTACACACTACACATATGGGTTTTGGGTTCCTCACTAAACGAGTCTTATCTGGTTATAATAACTATCTAATTGATTGTGCAAGTTTAATCCGTCCAAAGTGTCACTTAGAAGACGTTAGAGGATTTACCATCTTTAACCGGCAATAATTATAATAGTGTTTATTGATGCGTACAAGATTTGAGGCTAACATCCCAGGGGTGCCAGGTTAAGCAGTTTTTGGCAGTTGATGGGAGGCTCCACACAGATTTTGAGATAGCTTCAACAGGAAGTGCTCATAACTATACCCGTTCATATTACATTAACGGAAGGGACTATATTATTAGTGGGAGTTGTGAAGAGCCTGTCATTCGCATTTGCTGTGCTCAAACTGGAAGGCGGCTCAGGGATGTTTACTTGGAGGTAAATTTATTTTTCGAAGTTGGCTTTATAACTTCAGGAGCATGTATATTTAATCACAATTGCTCTTTCTTACCCTGCAAATGATTGCCGTTTTAAAGAATAGGGGCTTGGGGAGCTCAATGCTTGTGCAGTCCTTGAGGGGTGATCCTTTTCGAGTAAGTTCTCTTTGCTGCTAGTGAGATGCATAATAACATGGCAGGCATGGTGCATAATCATTATAATTTTTATAAATTAGAAAAAAAACAGTTTGGAACTTAATAATAAGTGCTTGTAACCGTAGAATACTCTCTTCTTTTTGTTTTAATGTTGAACACTTTTGTGTTACGAAAATTATGTTCCTTGTTGAGGTTGTGAATATGTATATTTGTGTTCTTCAATACAGCATTTTCACATGGCTATCCTAGCAGCCTATATGCATTCTAGCTCAAAAAAGTGGGAGATAATCAAGGTACTTGTCATGCTCACTTATATTTTTTTTTTTATGTTGACGACTGTGTGAAAGCTCATTTTGTCTTTTAACTATATGCAGGTCAATTTGCTTGCATCCAATCAGTGTACCCAAAAAAATTCTTATGGCCAACATTGTCGTCCTTCCTACAGTCTGGGAGGTTGATTTTTGTAATTTTTACAATATACTTGTGTATATATATGTACCTGTACCTGTATTTTGTATTTGTATATGTAAATTCTTATGATACCACACGTGAAGTGTAATTTGTGGTGTGAATAAATATGTAATGAGGATTTGTCTTTATGGTTCTTACGTGGTTAAAGAAATGGTAAGCAGTCATTCTGTGGATCTGTGTCTGGCCATGCTCCCTCAACTGTTACAAACTGCTTAAGTTGTATGTACCCATTGATTGATATTACCTGTATAGCTCTCTAAAGAGTGGAGATTAGACATTGTTGCGGAAATTTTAACTAGGAACTTTTGGCTTTAGCGAGGTTTAGAAGTTTGCAAGTAAAACCTCGTTAGTTTGTAACCTAATTAAAGTCAACAAGACCAGAGATGAGACATTTTTTTTTAATTTTTTTTTGATGATCATGTATGCTATGTTTGGTTGGAGGGATGGATTGAGGAGGGATGGATGAGTGGAGGGAAGGGAAGAGAGGGAGGAAGCAAGGAGGGATCCCTCCTTTCTTCATGTTTTTCTATCCGCCCAATTTTGGGGGGAAGGGAGGAGAGAGAAAATGAATAATTACCAACAATATGTAATTTTCAATTTTAACCTTTTCAAAAAAATTCAAATGGATATCTACTTTTTATTATTTTATACAGTGATGATATATTGGTAAAAAAAATATGAAAAGTCTCTTTTCCTTCCTTCCAACCAAATAAAAAAATGTATCACCCCATCCATCCTTTCTACTATCTATTCCATTTAACCAAACAAAAGATGAAGGAGACACCTTCCGTTCCCTAAGGATTCCTCATCCATCCATCCCTCTATCTCTTCCATCCATTTTTCCATCCCTCCAACCGAAAGAAGCAGTAGTGTCCTGATATTTGAAGTGTGGAGTGAGGTGTCAATGCTGGAATAACATTATTTATACCCTTCAGTCTGGTAGTTGGGACCAAAGCAAACGTGTCTTACCTGTAAAGATTTTTGTGAGCATATAAGATCAATTTACTTCCGTTTAGTCTTTTGTACTAAATAGTTTGGAATCACTCCTAGACTTTTCACCTATTTTTATATATTTGTGTCAATGATGGAAACTTCAGGCCTCTTAAACTTGGAGCATTTCATAATCCTCCACCACTTGATACATACAGTTCTTCTCTCACTTGCATCATGCAATTAATGAGAGAATTTTCGAGAGTGGGTCTAAGGTGATTTGACCTCTTGATCTCTCTCAAAATGAGAGACAAAATTGTTTTTTCTTTTTTAAAGAAAAAGATAATTTTAAAAATAATACTGAAATCCCATTACATAATAAATAAAAAAAGGAAAGTCTCTCAAATAACTGTTGGTACTTGTTCTTTGAAAACTATTTTCCGATTTCTACCAACGGATAATGAGTTCAAGAGGTTCAGAGAAGGAGATGACAGCAATAGTACACTACTTGAAAACCTGATTTGCGGTCAAGAAATTCGCGCCAAAGTAGGGACAATGGCTAGCAAGACGAACTTGCCAAGCTTAATTCATATGGGGCTACGCAGAAAAGTGCTGGAACGAACTTCATGTTATATTTGCTTACAACGATTCCCAAGTGTTTTTTTGCTAAGCATTCGCTTCGTCTCTCGCATACATTTTACGAGTAACGTACTAGTGGTTCCCTGAGGAGATATAACATATAACCCAAACTCCATGCACAAATGAATCAGCCAGCAACAGAACAATTCCGCTCTGCGATTTAATTGAATTTTCATTCTGCTCAATCAATCAACATCAAACTATTGTTTAAAAAACATAAATTTGATATGGGTGATTGGGAAAGACTTCCTCTCTTCTTTATAAAGTTATGTTCAAAAACAAATAATAATAATAATAATAAAAACCAACCGAGTTCATTTATATAGGGCACATCCCTCAACTTCTCAAGAATTTCTAGGACACACAAGACATTTACATAAAAAATAAATAAAAAGGTAAAAAACAAATACAACATCAGCAATAACATGAGAAGGCATGACATCTAACAATATAAAAATGATTATTCCCTTTCCACGTCTTGCCCAAACTCATATTACAGAAGGCTGCAAAAACTAAACTTCCAGGTGTAAAATTTTTTTCCCACATTCACATATAAAGTTATTCATCAGAGGACTCGAGAAATCCCCGCAAATCAATTTTTTAATTTTTTTTTTCTTCTCTTCACAAATCAAGAAACATCCAAGCAGCAGGCCCTTCGTAGTCATTATTTGCAACATGGGATTTACACACTAAATATATCTTACCTCAAGATATTGGATGAATCCAAGGGTTATCTTATGAAAGTCAGCCCCTCCCAGCATTACCATGTCGCTGGCTTCTAAAGTAGTTTAGAAGCGCCTGAGCCTGCAAACAACCAAAAAGTTAATACATTTCTTTCTGGAGGGGGTGGATGCGGTGTTAGAGAGGAGGGGTTTTTGAACTGCAAGTAGTATACCTTTTCCTTGGCTCTTGGTGTGCCCGACTGAGACAATGCCACTAATGGTGGAACAGCTCCTTCCTGAAGCACCGTATTGCAGAATCTACCACTATTTGTGCAAAGCTGTAGAAGAGCAGCAGCTGCATTCTCCTTCCCTCTTGCAGAACCCAACTCAACAACCTCAACTAGAACAGGAATCCCTCCCTCCTGACCAATTGCAGCCCTTCCTTCATGGATGGTAGCAAGATTAGCCAAAACAGCAACTGCCTTATCAACCATCCCCGCAGCAGGGTCCATCAACTCTACAAGGTATTTCACAGCTCCAGCCTGCACAATCCGGGCCTTATTTTCATGAAATATTGACAAATTAAACAAAGCTGTGGCTGCATCTTTTTTCCCCCTAGGAGTTCCATTTCCCAATAAATCAACCAGAGGTTTAATTGCGCCAGACCTTCCAATCTTGACCTTGTTATCCTCAATCACCGAGAGGCTAAAAAGAGTGGCAGCTGAGTTCTCCTTAGCCTCAGGACTACCTGTCTCAAGAACATGAATCAAAGGTTCAATTGCGCCAGCATTTGCAATAGCGGTTTTGTTATTATCATTAATTGATAAGTTGAGAAGTGCAGTAACAGCATTTTCCTGTATCCTTGTGTCTGGTGAACTGAGTAGTTCAACCAACAGGTTGATGGCTCCACAGCTTGCTATTACAATTCGATTATCCATGTTATGCTTGGCAAGTAGCCTAAGTTCAGCTGTGGCATTCCTTTGAGCATCACTTGATGTGCTCTTCAAGTCGTCAACAAGCCTCCTGACTTGGGTTTCAACTTCAGAAAGATCAGCCCTCGTGTCCATGGCAGGAGAAGAAACTATCCTTGGAACAAACCTTTCAGATGGCCTGCGCCAGATTTGGCTTCGAGATCTCGCCTCCAATCGAAGTGGGAACTCATGCTCTCTCTGTGGGGTGGTTGAGGTAGTAGTAGCCAGTGGCTCTGATGTCACCTCCCCAGAAGTATCACTACTGTAGGCTGTCACCTGGGAGGGCACCTCATTGCCATCACCTGGCGTTCCTTGTGAAAAATTTGCATTAGAAAGTGTGCTGGAAGCTGAGACAGTTCGATTATGGCCCTGAGATGACTGTTCATCAGGCCCACTAGCACTAGAAAGTTCTTTTCTTGATGGTGAAATAGGGGGTTGGCTACATGAATCCAAACTTCTCTCTTCCGAGTTAACCAACCGGTCTTCGGAATTTGTAACTGATGTTCTCCCAATATCCAAACCATGTCCATTTCCAGCTACACCAGGCAAGGAATCCTCTGAAGACGAACGAGGATGTGATGGAGAAGTTCCCTCTCGATGGATTCCACTAGATGAGATTAGATTCTTTCCAGGTGAACCCATAGACCGAGGTGAACGGGGTGATATAGGTTGATTAGCCCTTGAATGAGGAAGGATATGCAAATCCCTGGGAGCACCAGATTCGGGATGTGAAAGGGAAGAAGGCTGGTTTAAGCTCATAGATTTCAAGGGGTCAGGCAGCTTAGCGTTGTTTGTTTCAGGCAGCTTAACATTGTTTGTTTCACACCAATTTGCAATTAGTGCCTTTACAGTGTAATTAGGAATGAGATTGGTGTGGGCGAGAGTTTGCCTGGTCTTTGGGCAAACAGTGAGCCCAAGATCAATCCACTTATGGATAAAAGCCCGCTCATAGGTTTGTCCTGAAGCTACAATTACTGGGTCTGTCATCAGTTCAAGTGAAAGAGGGCAGCAGAAATCAGCAGGAATGAGAACGGGATTACAGCTCTCGGACTGTTTCATCATAACAAGGCGCTCATGCATGTGGGTAATAAGAGCGATCATTTGATCAATGTACTCAGCTTCTTCATTCTTCTCAGCTTGTTCGGCATTCTCCTTCAATTTTTCAAGCGCCACAGCCTCAATCAGAAGCTCCTGATTTGACCTTAAGCTCAGGCTATCAATGAACTTTGCCTGGCTCTCTGAACTAGGTTCAGAGCCTTCCACTTGATCCTTAATTGCTTTTGTGATGACAACTGAGGTATGTTCATAACCCATTTGCTTAATTTTCTGTGCACAAAGCTGCAATCAGGCACGAAGCGTTAGACATCAAAAAAGGATAATCTCATATATTTTTTGTTTTACTAGAATCGTATGTAAAATAGTTAGCTTTAATTTGGCAACAATATAAGAACTGCATATGGCAGATGATAATTAGATGGATTTTCATCCAAAGAATTCTACATCATGCATATTAAATTGGAGAAGCTATGATGCATGCTCTAAATACAGACAACTTTAGAAGGTAGAACTAAAAATATATATATGTTAGGTACCTCAAGAGATGCAGCATTCAATTCAACAGGGAGATATTGATCCGAAGATTTCAGCAGCTCGAAAATTTCCAGGATAGAAGTCTGAACCTTTGATATTAATGATTCAACTTGCAGAACCTAAAGATCATGCAACATGTGCTAGTTAGATGGGAGGAAAAAGAAAAGTAGATCAAAACTTTAAGCAGTCAAATAAAAGACCAACTCAAAACCTCGTATACCCATTTATATATCTCATTCAAGGGCTGAGCATAAGAAAATTCCTCCCTAACAAAGGAACAAGAAGCATAAAGTGAAAAATCCTAACCAAAGATGCTTTATATGCTAAGTCCAAACAAAGAACTAGCTCTTTTTGGTTTCCAAGTTGCAAGGAAGAGTTTCAGAATGGAAAATTAAGCTCAGGAGCTAGGGGAATCACATTGCAACAGCCATGGAATCCAAGAAAAATGGAATCCAAGTTTGTTCATGAAAGTTTTACATCCTATTCAGTAGCAAAACAAAGTTTCAGTCAAGAGAAAAAAAACAGCTTCCCAGGCTCCCACTACAAGAGTTTGACTTGTACACACACACACACACACACACATATTAAAAAGGAAGTAGAAACATATTGCTATTTTCTTACGGAAAGGATGCACAGAGATAGAGAGAAGGCATTCTCTTGTCCGTCGAAGATCAATGGAAAAGGTAAGAAACAACATCGCTGCTGGAACCGAGGTTTCAAGAATACCATAGATTAAACACCATATATTACAACTTAAATTTCTTAGTTTAAACACCTACGGTAGATATTGGCCGCAACAACAACAATATAAATGAGCATTTGGTAAGATAAAGATTACATGAATTTGTGTCTCTTTATGATGCAGTCCTCCCATGATTTTCAAGGTCAGCTGATATTGAAACATAGAAATTTTGTAGAGGGAGCCTGCGGGGCGGGGAGATTACATGTAGAATGGAATTTCTTCACGGCACTTCTATCCATATGCCCCAACAAGGAAAAAAAGATAATAAGCATTAAAATTGTGTGGGGATGATCTACAACCACTCCTTGACTATGGCAGTGGGGGTCCTTCAAATTCCAAGATACATTTATCCATTTATGTAAACTATGGCATATCATTTGATGGTTATATTTCTTTTTGACAAGTCATTGATTGCATAGTTATTACAGAGTAAAATATATTGATCAAGTAATAACCAAAGAAAGCTCTGCATGTTTTTGGGAAGATCAATAATTTAATTAGTAGAACAATTATTAAGAGGAATTAAGCAATAACCAATGACTTTATGCAGCGGAATAGCAGCTTAAAAATCCTCAGGGTACTAAGTGTGAGAAATCATAGGAAAAATTAGAATTGGAAACTCATATTCTGAATTCTGTTTGGGATGCAGCCGTCAAATTGAACTAAATTTACAGCCCCAATCCATAAAACAAACTTTACAGGAGACAGTGGCTATCAATCATGAAGAGGAAATATGTATTTGCAATCCCACCATTTGAAAATGGAGGAAAAAAGCAACCCATCGTTATTGCCACCTCTGAAAACTTGCTACTACTACCATCATCACAACAACCAAACATCCACCACATCATCCTTATCAACCACCCCTCACCACCGTTGCCATTGCAATTACAGCCACTGCCACATCCTCTAAATTCATTTCAACACTCCTGCCAACGTCATTGATGTCACAACCACCAATAGCACCCCCACGACCACCATCACTGTAGAACTCACACCCAACTCCAGCAGATCACCATCAGCATCACAACCCTACAGTGGCACCATCTTAATACCCTTCCAATATTACCAGTATAGCACTCTTAACATCACCTTATGAAACTTGAATTCATGACCATCAGGTTAACCATCACCATTACTATCACTAACACAACCACCAGTATCTTTGTGACCTGTAACCAATCATCCCCACACCAACCCCCCTCCCCGAAACTGAGATCTATAACCAGTCACCCCCACTAAATTATTACCGATTATAATAACTCATCAACACCACCATAACATAATAATTTTGTCGTTCCTACCACCTTCAGCTAACTGTCAATGGACCACTGCCACATCCATCATTATGTCAATGCATGAACAATAGTCATCCTTTCACAATTGTAGACCTTGCAACCTTTATCGTCTCCGTCTCCATCTCCAAAACCATCATGGTGCCACCATTGACATCAACATTTCTGACAATCATTCACCACCATGACCACTAGTTTCGCTATGAAGTCTGTCAACTCAACACCAAATCTGTCACCACCACATGCAACATATATTAACTAACCTAGGAGGAAAAGCGCTGACTAGGTCAAGATAAAGGAAGTAGAACGAAAAATAGAGCAAGAAAGTGAACTCACAAAAAGGAAAGAAAAATAGGCTGAAGTGTAAATATGAGGAGTTGTTTAAAAAGGAAAAATAAAAAACCAAAAAAAAAAACCCATCAAAAGCAATATTATCTCCTATTAAACACGCTGATCAACAAATATAACCTCCAAATCAATTATATAACATAATGAATTTTATATTGATCAATGTCTAGTCATCAGAATGTTGCCCCGACTAGGTTGGTTCCAGCATTTTAGCTCTCTTAAAATGGTTAGTAAGATGAATCTTTTTTTTTTAAAAATATTTAAAAACTATAAGTTGAAAATATAGATCATGATACGTACAAAATAAACTTTACTCATCAACGGATGCCAGTTTTCAAATAGCTCCCTCAGTTCATCAACATATTGACTCAGTCCTGCAAATTTATTATGAAGTTGTTCTTCAGATGCTATTTCAGCATCAGTAATGGCATCAAGCACCGGCTTTATCAACTTCAATATCTCTTCAATCTTCTGGTAGTATCTATGAACTGGTTCACAGTTTATGTTATCATGAGACAACAAATGAAAGAAACAAGAGATGTTTCTGAGAAGTGCTTTCAATAATGATATCTCCATCACACCTGTATCAAGACAGAAGAGCTCATGGTCCTCAGTAAAGTGAATCAAGAAAAGATTTTTGCACCAGATATCGGCCCATGCTACAGCTAAAATAGCAAAGGTAATACGAAAAATTTACAATACCAAAGTAAATAAACTAAACATGTAGATAGATAAGTTAATTTGATATTATTAATATTCTGCCAGTTAAGCGCATTAATCTCAAGAGGTTCTACGAACGCTATCCCCTGTCACACACACCAGCCACAGGAGAGCGAGAGAGAGAGATGGCAGCAAAACATGACACTATGCATCATAAATGGGTTTATTCCACGTTCAAGATTCCATAAGCTTCCATGTTGTGATGCAGCTGTCCATTTGCTTAATGAGGAAATTATAGTTGCATCCTACAAAGCACGGACACGCCTAAAACGGGCAAAGAATCTGTGTCGGACATGTGTCGGACACCGACACGTATTGGACATGCCAAAAAAAAAAATGTCCCATTGTATTTTATTTTTTTAATATTCAGACACAACATGGATACACCGTGGACATGCGTTCGACATGCCATGGATATGTGTCCGACATGCGTGTCCCATTCTTTGGGTTTATTTTTTTTATAAGGCATTCTTGGGGATTTAAAGAAAGTTTTACAAAGAAAGCTAGGTTGAAGTGTAAAATATTAGGAGTTGTTTAAGAACTTTTAGTAATTTGAAGGTCATTAAATAATTACTTAAAAAACGTTTTAAAAAACAATCAAATATTTGTACCTATATTTTAGTTCAAAGGTTCAAACTCTTGCGCGATCATCTTTGACTCTCTCTTGTTATCTCACCGACCAAGCTTCGCTGTCAGTCGATGCTCTCTCTCTCTCCTCTTTTGCACTCTTCTTCTTAGTCCTCCTCTTTTCTTTCTTCTTCTTCTTCTTCTTCTTCTTCACAAGCCCTCGGTACTTCTTTTTTTCCTTTTACAACAAAATTCTTTTTGTCTCTTTTTCCTTTTTCCTCTTGTTTCCACAATCTTTTTCTCTTCTATTGATTCTTACCTTTAATTTTAACTAAGCTCCTAATCCTCTTTGTCTCTTTGTTTTTTCTCTTTCTTAACCCTTGTCTATCATTCTTTCTTTTTCCCGGCAAAACACAATTTTTTTCATTATTAGGTTGATAAAAAATAATATTACTCGTAATTTCTTAAACAGAAACTACAACACTATATATATATATATATATAAATATTTAATATTGATTGCGTCCCCGCCATGTCCGTGTCCTAATTTTTTAGTATTTGTCGTGTCGCCGTGTCCGTGTCCATGTCGTATCCGTGTCCTGTATCCGTTTTCGTGCTTCTTAGTTTGCATCCAACATGTGTGCAGGGACTTTCAGTTGGAAACAATGAGAAAAGTAAGATTGATTTGACATGGTGAAATATGCTAGAAAGTGAATTCAACAAGGAAACCTTACAGACAGTTGATAAACATTATTATTGTAAGCCTCAGTCAAATTTCGGTCACAGCAGTCAAATCATTTCATAAAGATCAAGGAAGTCTAGGAAAGTGTCAACTAAAATTTCCATAAACATGTACATGACAGACACCTCAAACTTTGCCTTCCAAGTACAACAGCCACGCGCCACTTTTAATGCAACACATTCCATCTTAATTTTTTTTGACAAATTCATTAGTTAACATTTCCAAGAGATCCAGGCATAGATACACTAAAGAAGACAAGATTTCAAACCAAATACGGCACGTTTGAAGGTTAACAAATTAGGAATGAAATTAATAGATAGTTAGGTATCAAAGTTCACAACCCTTAAAGACTTGTCTTTTTATCAATTTTTTTTTAATAATTAAGTGTAAATTTTTAGAAGGCTTTTCAAAACCTTAAATTTTTTAATCACAATCAAGCATCAACCTATGGAGAGCAAAGCTTCAACACAAGGAAAAAAGAGAAAACAATAGAGAACAAAATAATAATAAAGAAAGCAAAAATCCAGACTTGGCAGTAGCATCGAAGACGAACAGATGAGAGAAAAAGCCAGAGGGGCATATGACAATCTAGAAAATTCTCAAGGAAAACAGCAGGTTCATTGCAAGGATATCCATGTTTTAGTAACCATGGATCGAATAGAGGGAACTATACAAGTCAATTCTTGTTTTCCAATGTCAGGACACATCCATAGACCTCCTGTACCTTTGTCAATCTACCTTAAGACACTACAGTCTACACCCATAGCTTCCAAGAAAAATCTTAACAATATTCTTTCTCTTGGCCTTCTTATTTGAAAAAGAGTGTTTTAGTCTCTGCCCTTTAGCAGCACCCACCTTAAAAGGTTCAGAGAAACAGAGATAAGACATGAAAGACACCTAACTGCTTTTAGATACATCGGAGAGGTACCAAAACCGTGTAAATGAATTCCTGGAAGCAGTTGACCATTAGTCCCTTTCACATCTCTTACACAAAAGGAAAATGTAAGAGAACATTACTTCACGCTTCCTTCTTTGAAGCATATAAGCAATAACTTCTTTTTGAACTGCATTCTATAAAAAGGTTTTAAATTTGGGTGGAACTTCACTCTATTAACACGAAACCAAAAGATATATTAATAAATAAAAGTGTACAAGGAGAATGAGACTCCCTCAAAATGAAATAAGGAGATAATAAAAGAGGAAAAAAAAAAATGAGGAAAATTTCTAAACATTGCACGGGTACCATTCTATTAGGCTATGTTTGGTAGGGTGGGTTTGAAGGGGAAGGATAACTTTAGTTATGAGGGAAGGGGAAGGAAAGGGAAGGGAATGATAATTTTAATTTGGTATTGTGTTTGGTTGATTAATGAAGGAAAAGAAAGGGAAAGACAATAATCACGTTTGGGAAAAGAAGGGGAAAGAAAAGAAAGGGAATTATTTTAATAAATTGACCATTATACCCTTTTATATTTTAAAATATACATATATATACCGTCTCTAGGCCCACAAGAAAAGAAAAAAAAAATTTCAGCCTCTACTGTCTCTAGGGCAAATCATTTCAGCCTCTATTCTCGTTCTCAACGCCGAACTTCTCTCTCTCTCTCTCTCTCTCTCTTTGCAACTGCAAACTACTACAAGAATCAGTAGTTCAAAACCCATATACTTCATCATTTCAGATTGTTCAAAAAATCAAAACCGAATTTCAGATTGTTCAAAAAATCAAAACCCATATCGATCAAAACCCATATCAGTTTCCATCGCCCGCTGTTCCAATTCGGGTTCGCCGTTCGCAAGCTTCAGCCGCGGGCCCTCTCTCTGCAACTGCTAAATCAACTAATCAAGGTCTGTAATTCTTGTTTTGCAAACTAAATTCACATGTAATCAAGGGCAAAATTGGCATCTGAAATCACACACCAAGCCTCTCCTTCCCTTTCCCTTCATTTCCTCCCATTTTTGGGAGGTTAAGAAATTTACTGGCTTGTGTTAACCCTCCAAACCCTTCCCTTCCCTTCCCTTCCCTTTCCTTCCAACAATTTTTGCCAAACACAAAATTTTAATCCCCCTCCATCACCTTCCCTTCCCTTCCCTTTCCTTCCAACAATTTTTGCCAAACACAAATTTTTAATCCCCCTCCATCACCTTCCCTTCCCTTCCCTTCCCTTTCCTCCCTTTGCCATTGCACCAAACTGACCCTCAGAGTGTAAGTAAACAAAAATACATCTCTTCAGTGTTTTTCTTCTTATTCCTTTTATAGTGGATGCATAATATAGGAAAATATGATACCAAGACAAGGAAAAAATTGACCTTTGTGGATACTGTACATGTGAGTAACTCACATCTCTGCCAATTAAGTAGAGGTGGATACCGTACAAGATGTGACCATGTGAGAAACTCACATCTCTGTCAATTAAGTAGCATTCATATGCTTAAGCTCAATCTTGAGGGCATTGTATAGACATGTATTTGTGTTTCTATGTTATCTGTTTCTCCACATGTATTTGTTTAAATCTATAAATATTGTTGCCACGAGCTTGTTAACTTTTAGACGACTTGGATGCTTTCCATTTTATGTATATTGTGTTATTTTCTTGATTTATATTAGTTGTGATTAAACTAATTGACAGACAATTTTTCAAGATAGTTGGTTGCTTCGATAATAGGTGGTTTTTATTCTCTATAACAGACAAATTTGATAGAAGATATTTCATTACTTTTTTTGTATTATTTTTGTACATTACCTGACTGGACATGAGACAATTTTTCTCTCTCCATGCATATATATGACAAAAATGGCTAGATGTATTTTGCATGAACTTAATGGGTAATGAAATACTTTTGGTTCATAAAGCTGCAGTTTATAGTTTTTCTTCCCCCCCTTCCTCTCTCCTCTCACACACATCAATTTCAAACTTAGTGTGTCCGCCCCTGATCCTACATTAAAAGTCTTTCAAAAGTTTGAAGCCTATCTGCAATATATCTTACCTCCCATGTACATGCATGTATGTGAATGATGGATGATGTTTTCAACACTGAATATGGACAAGGCTAAGAGAATCCACAAAACTGCAGCAAAAGTGACCCGATCAGCTTATAAAAGGAAAGGATGGTAAAACTTGGTTAATAAATTTTAATGGTAACAATGAGACATTGTATTAGAAAGCCATGGATGATAGAGAACTAACACCAAACATAACAGTGATACTCAAAAGCTCAGAACGTTGGCCTTTTAGAACCACCATTCTTAAAGTCCAGCACAACCTTCATATGAAAATTTTCCCCCACAAGTACCCTAAACACCATATTTGCCGAGGCTACACATATTGATTCTATTCACTATGAGCACCAATTTATATCATGTCTGGACTAGGTGAAAATGATGAATCTGTTAAGCTCATTGTTCCAGCAAATCCCTCTATATGTTTCCTAAGAGTTACCACTGTAACTTTAAGTGCTCACAATTTCTAGTTCTTTCTATATCTAATGTTACTAAATAGTACTTTATCTCTCTTCTTTCTTCACGTGTTCTTAACATATAGTTTTAGTTTTTTACTCACCAAGCCAAGTAGCACATAGGATGTGGAAATAATTTTTATTAATTAGTTCATAGAATGTGTACATTATTCAGCTGAGTAACTGAGTTTATCATTTTTCATTTCATTTGCTAAGTGCACATGTCACACGTGACTGTCCACTCGGTTGAATATTATCCAAGAAGGATAAACAATTACTTTTTGTCCAATTTGGAATAAAAGCTCCATGGTTATGATTAACAATTAATGCACAAAGTTTAAACCCATTTCAATTGTTGTGCTTTCCTAAATTGCAAAGTGTTCCTGTATATATATTGGCCCTATTGAGCCTTTTTTCCTTTGACATAGTACCAGAAGGGGTGGTCATTAAATATTGATACTTTTTGTTGATAATTCTTCCTGACATGCATATTGTACAGGTTGAACTGTAGAGCACTATTCCAGTACAACACATTGTATTTTTCTTTCTGAATGAAAAAATAAAAAAAAAAAAGATTTATGACTGCATTCATTTTTACAAGTTAAACAATTCCCAGGGTATCTAAATTAGTGTAACTGAATCATTGCTAGCAAGAAGCACAAAATTCAAAAAACAGTTTTTGCAAGACCACTTTTACATAAAATTGAATCCTTCGAACATGTTGTACCAGTTAGTGAACGAGTACATATCAAAGTTCATTTTTGTCCATTGTGAGTTCATCTGGTGGATAACTTGCAAATTTCATAATAGACTACAATAGGGAAACCGACATAAGGTCAGGAAGAAGTTGTGCTTGATACATATTGAAGACAAAGCATTCCAGTCGATGTAATGTTGCAGGAATATAATAAAATTGGCTGTTGATTTTTCCATTAAAAAATGTGGGCATGAATTTATGGAGGGAAATGTGAATGTTGAGATGGATGTGCGGTAAGACTAGAAAGGACAGAATTGGAAATGATCACATTCGGGAGATGGTTGGAGCAGCACCAATTGGAAATAAAATGAGAAAAAATCGGTTAAGATGGTTTGGATATGTGAAAAGAAGACGTTTATGTGCGCCGGTTAGGAAAAGTGATATAGTTCACATTGAGGGTAATATTAGGGGAAGAGGAAGACCAAAGTTAAAGTGGGTAAAGTTAGTAAAGAAAGATACGATAGCATGTGGATTGACTGAGACTATGGTCTTAAATAGAGCAGAATGGGAACATGGGATTCATGTGGCAGATCCCAAGTCATTGGGAAAAGGCTTGGTTGTTGTTGTTGTTGATGATGAATTTATAGAAGGGTTATTGGCTTGTTAAGCGATGATGCTACATGCTTCTCCAGGACCAGAACTCACTCACGCGGGCCACCCAACCAACCACCTTTTAAAACCACCGAGACCCAGTGGTATCTATATCTCTCAAAGTGAATTGTTGAGGTCAACTCCCACTACAGACAAAGACTGTATGTTATTTGTCACGGAAAACAATAATAATAGGGCCACACACGATTTTACCACCAAGGGCCTAGCCCAACTGGTATTTCCTCAGCATCCCACATGGGAGGTTGAGAGTTCAATTATCAATTGTGACAACAGTGTTTTGTGTGTTGGATGATTAGTTGCTCAATCTCAATGTGAACTTGAGGGTGGATAATCCTTGATTGAACAAGTCACTGGACAAGGAAAAGTTCCTAATTGACAGAAAAAAAGAAAAAGAAAAAAAGGAAGAAGATAATTTTCAAAATTGCCATCTGCAAAGATACGTCAAGGGTATTTTCAATGGTGATATTCAATCAACTTCAAGAGAGTCTAAAAGATAGAAATCAAATCATAAATCCTATAAAGTTAGATATCAGATAATGAATTCTAACAAAAGCAGTCAATCAAAGAGGACATCAAACTGGAGTAATGACCGTTTACTGGGAGGACAGACCAGAGAGAAGAAAAGAGAAGGTATTTATAGAATTTGATCATTTGTTTTTGTTTTTTTTTTTTATTAAAAAAAAGGGATAATATCACTTACATCTCTCGAGGTTAGGCCTAATTACAGATACTACCCCTAACGTTTTAAAAATTACACTATCCTCCCTCAAGGTTTGCTCCATTGTAACACTTTGCCCCTTCCAGTGATGGTCAACGCCAGTCAATTACAATTTTTGATGATGTCAGCCATTTTAAAGTATGAAATACCATATTTGTCCTTGCTATAATTATAAAGATATTTCCACACCTACTTTTGAATTAAAATTACTCATATACCCTTCTCTCTCTATTCTCTCTGAGTCTCATGTTCTCTATGTCCCAACCTTCAATACTTCTAAAACCCCAATTTTTCATATTTTCAATTTTTCATATTTTGACTTGGTATCTGAATCAAGGGATGGACGGAGCAGGACATCAAAGAGGTCTTTAGGATATATATGTGTATATATATGTGTGTGTGTTATGATGTCCCAAACAGAGGTGCACAAGGGACTGGTCGGGACGGCGAGCAAGGACAGATGGAACGTCGGGCGGCAGCAAGCTATGAATAACCCACTGGGGACGAGCAAGGATGTGCTTAATTGACGGCGAGCAAGAAGAACGGCAATGACGCGGTGGCGGTAGTGTGGCGACGAACAATGACCGGAAGAGCCGCAATTCCGGCGACGGTAGATGAGCAAGGATGTGCTAAGTCGACGACAAGCAAGAAGAACGTGACACAGTGGCCGCCGAGTGTGGCGGCGAACAACGAGAGTCGCTATTTCGGAGACAGCTAATGAGCAAGGATGTGCTCAGTCGATGGCGAGGAAGAACGGCAGTGCCGCGGTGGTGGCAGAGCGTGGCGACGAAAACCTACTGGAAGAGTCGCGATTCCGGTTGCGATAAGCACAGTGGTTATTACGATGACGGTGACAGCAAGGACTGGGTCTGAATTGAACGGTGGTGATGCTCTTATTGGTGCTTACCGGCTTGAGGTTTGAATGGCGTGCAAGCAGCTTGGAACGGCGGTGAAGGACGGCGTGCACAAACTCTTGTAGATGACGATGGATGACGGATCTGCTATCGATGATCACAGGGGTTGTAGAAAGAGAAAGTGAGCCTAGCGACGCAAGATACCGACGGTGAACTAGTGAGCTAGGCGATGAAGCGGCGCTTTGATCCGGTGACGAAGTGAACTGAAATGGCGGCGGCAATGCACAATCTCAATAGCGAGACCGACCGGCGGTGAGCAAGGATGCCGGTGCTGAACCGGTGGCGGCGATAACTTGGTGGTGAGGACTATGGCAAGATTGGTTGTTCAATTCTGTAATTGGTTTGTTTATTTCCAATGTGGAGGACCAGAAATCTCTAGTTACAGAGAGAGTAGATGTTGGAGAGAGGAGAGATGCGTACGAAGATAATTGGGGGTAGCTTTATCATTTTGCATTTTGTTAATTTTTTATTTTATATAATAAGGGTATCTTAGTCATTTGACAAGAATGCCACCGGAATTTAACTCCGCTCACATTGAGGGGAGGTTTCTGTAATTTTTGAAACGTAAGGGGTACCGCCTGTAATTGCGCCTAACCTCAAGAGAGATAAGTGAAATTATCCCCAAAAAAAATAAATAAAAAAATAATAATAATAATAAAAAATTATGGGAAAGGAAGAGAGGAGGGGACACTTTCCCTCAAGGTCCACCAATTCTTTCTGCCCAAACATGGGCGCAGAGGAGGAATAGGGCTACCCCACTCTTTACATGTTTTACCGTTCAAAATACCTTTTCTTAACAAAAAGTATAATGGTAGAATCAAGCAGTACCTCTTTCCCTCCTTGCTCCTTTGTTTCCTGCTCAACCAAGGAGGGAAAGACAACTTCCCTTCCCCATGCCTCTTCCATTCCTCTTACCTCCTGTTCTCCTAATTTCCCATTCCCCACACCAAAAAGCATTACCAAGCTTAGTCCTTGTACCAAGGGGGCCAAGTTGTATTTTCTTCCTCCTTCCAAATGGAAGATTGAGGGTTTCAGTCCCCAATAGGACAAAGGGGTGTTTGTGCAACTTTAACTACTGGAAAAACCAAAGCAAGGTCTGTGCACCAACAGAGGATACGCAAAGAAAAAAACTCCCATGCACCTCAAAGAAGGTAGACAACTCACCAAGTGGTCAATCGCATTAGTGCACCTTAAAATTCACTGTACAATAAAACATTCCTCGCAGGCCTTGCCTTGGATCATCTTCCTGTTAAACAAATTTTTTATTTTAGATTTTACTGTCAGTTTCTCAATCAGGAAAATAGCTAAATTTTGACATTAAACATTGGAAATCCTGTTGAAAGGAAACAGGTTGGTCTCCTGCCCCATTTTGAGCAAGTTTGTCACTCAGGGTTCCAGAAACTGAGGGTTTACAACTTCAAAATCCACTTGGTCTCCGTGACTAATTCTTTTATTCATATTAGGTTGTTCGTCTTTCTAGAATCTACCTGTTACATGATAGTTTGCTTTTCAGTTAACTCGGGTTATTCTATATGTCCAATTTTTCACAATTACTGAATTTTTCAACAAAGGGCATATAAATAAAACAGCTAAACATCATTTTTACAAATGAAAAGTTTATTAACTAGGCTGAAATGAAATCAAAAGACTATCAACTGGTGTTTATCCCACCTATGAAGGATATTGCAACAGGTGGATTGGATGCCTATGAAGCACGCTCCTCTACAGAAAGCCGTGGTGGTGACGGGACACATGTCCAACATCGCTAAAAGTCTCTTGGAGTTTGCATACCTTTTTTACCCTGGTTGATATGGCTGGGACACGGTATGGACATGGTGGGGACCCATTTGGGAAACTTTCAAGCAGTGCAATTTTAGAATATGTTAATAGAAAATTACATAAGTTTTAAAAAGCAAAAACAACACCCATATAACTCTTTAAAATTAATGATTACATTCATAATAATGCAGAGAAAAAGTGCAAAATTCAAAATTATGAATACTATATATATATATATATATATATATATATTTGAGATTCTTCATATTACAGTATCCATATCATGTCATACATGTGTTTATATCCATGCTTCATAATTGGATAAAAACACTAAATTATCAATATCGCGTATAAAGTGACAGCTCTCAAATTAAACCTTGCACTCACACACCTAACAAAACAAGCTTTTACCATTGCACCAAATAATGACCCCTAAATCAACAAAAACAAAGGAAAATGGATTAACCACAAAACTGGGACTTTAAAAACTTTAAAATTTGTGCAAATCATTTTGTCATGAAAATCGTAGTGTAACAAACAATTTAAATTTGAAGCAGGAGCATGTCAAACCTACACGAATTGGGTCTAAACTTAAGTAAAGTGCCATACTTCATTGTAAGGAGGAGCAAAAACATAAAGAATAGATGCTTCTCTTCATAGTGTAAAGCCCAGAATAATTCCTTCTGAAGCATAAAGTGAATATAAAAAAGAACACCATTTCATTTAAATAATAAATTATAAATTATAAATAAATAAAAATTTAAAAGCAACCATTGAAAGCAACCATTATAACTGAATAAGCCTCCAAAATAATATATTGAAGCATAAAAATCAATAAAAGAATAAATTACTTTTCGTGTAACAGACAACTTTGGGAATTAAAATGCAATGACAACACTTGGTCCCGAACTCCTGATAAAGTACAATAAACATGAATGCAAACACAGAATAAGACACAAACATTAAGTATATAAATCCATCAGCCAAATTTCAACAAATTAATAACCCAATTTGCGATCAGATAGAAAAGGAACACAAACCTTTTTCAGCATAAGCATGAAACGTTGAATCCTCGAGTAATTTTGTTCACATCACCAGTTCTTGACAAGCCTGAGTAAACATAAAAAGAATACAATCCAATTTTAACACCATAAAGTGGTGTGCGCCCACACGATCAAGAGATTGAACTCGTCTTGAGATATTGTCCAAATTTAAATTTCCTGGTAGTTGATAGCCTGTAGAAGTAAAGTATTAATCATGATTACAATAAAATGATTTACATTCAAACAGTTATGCATTGTCTGAGTCATATGAATTTTTTGCAACTGGCTGTTGTGACAAGTAATTGTCAATGCATAAAAAAAGACATGGAAAGGAATCATAATGGGCTATTTTATGGGCATGATCAACTACCGCAGCCAAAGAAAAAAAAAATATACAAAAATTATGTGAAGGTTAATATGAAATTGTCCGCTGTCGCACTGGCAATTCTGTTGTTAAAATGAAAAATATATATATGAAATTGCAAAAATATAACAAAGTAACAAACAGGGTCTATGAAAGCCAGACTACAAAGAGTATAAGAAACAAAATATTCCAATGAAACAAGCATAAATATGTATATATATATGTACATGCATGTGTGTTTGTGTATGCATTACATGTACTAAAGTACTTATAGATCCATAGAAGGAGAAGGGAAAACTACACTAACATCAAGTCAGGGGTCCTAAATGACAAATTGGACGATTTTTAAAGTTTATTTTTCACTTTGATTAAATTAAGCAAAATAATTACATATGCATTGATAATCATTGTTCAAGTCCAAAATGCCCTCCAAACTCTTATTTCAAAATACCAAATTATCCTTCTTAAATGAAATTCAAGAAAAATAAGATTTAGGTATTCAATTAACCGATGATATTGCGACATAAGACCAACTGACTTTCAAAAAAAAAAAAGACGTGTGACAAACTCAAGTTGGCGATATGCCACTGAAGTGTAACAGATAATCTCATAATCCCTTTCTGGTTCTTCTTTGCCTTTTTATTTTATTTTTTCTTTTCTTTTAGAAAGAAAAAGTTCGGGTGTTGGGTGATTTTGCCTATTCAACATCCATTTCTAAAGAGATTTAATTGCCGCATATACAACTGTAAATTTATTTGGCAAATTTCAATATATGCCTTTAATTGAATGCTAGTAACTTTAAAACTATACCGTATTTTATTCAGGAAAATAAAAATCCCTACATGCATTTTAGTTATAGATACTGAAACTGAAAGTAGTAGAGAGCCTATGATGGAGTATTGAACACACAGAAATGAAAAAATAAATAAAGGTAAACGGCTAATCGGTTATGTAGTCTTTATTAATTTTGTCATTGATTCATTATGTTATAAATTAATATGAATCTTATTTTTCATTTTCTCCAGCGAAACCTATGGTATAAGAAGGATAATTTGGTGAAGGAATTATTTTTCCTGAATTTCTTGAGTGAAAGAATTATTTGATTTTAAAAAGGATAATTTTGTATTTTGAAATAAGAACTTGGAGGGCATTTTAGTCCTAAATAATGATTCTCGATGCATATGTAATTATTTTGTTTAATTCAACCAAAGTGAAAAACAAACTTCTAAAATAGACCAATTTGTTATTCAGGACTCCTAATTAGATTTATGAGTAGTTTTCCCAAGGAGAAAACAGTAAAGCCAAATAAGGACGCATTTATTTTCCAGAGAAAAAAAGGAAGCAGTTTATCCCTTTCAAATCTGGAAGGTTTTCATACTCTGTAAGGTATATATTGGACAATATACAAAAAGTGAGAGGAAAAAAGGAATCTCTCTTTCTTGCATGAACCAGAATATTTAAAAAGGTATAATGGAGAAAACTAAATAGATTCATGAAAGTGATTTACAAAGGATAAGTTAATGTAATTAGATTCACATATTTGGGAAGTGGAACAGAAGTACAAGGTATAAGTGTCCAAAAACTAGGTGGGAAATTTGAAAGGCGAAAAATCACCATCATTGAATGACAAAGTTATGAAGCAAAATGGAGCTTAGATGAAAAGTCAACAGGAATGTGCAACAAGGTGTTTAATTGTATTATAAGGATAGCAAAAGAGGCCCTTGGGAAGTATAATGAAAATGTCTATGATCTCGAGAAAATTGGTGGTGAATTATGACGCCCAAGTAGTCTGGTAATATAAAAGGATCTGATTACAAAACTAGAAAAAGATGCAGTCATGAGGAAAATTTAGAAAGATGTAAATGAATAAAGAAGAAAATAACCTAATATAGCAATTTGTAAAATCGGAATGATAGGACAATCGTCAGAGAAGAAAAGATGCATAATAGTTTAGTACAATAAGGAAGGTCAAATTTAGATTGTGTTAAGCACATTAAATGAAAATTAATTGGTTGGACTAGCACTGCACAATGACCATTTTTTAACCGTATAAGTAATTTAAGGTCACCGAGTGTATTGCTTAAGTGGTATCTCCTCCTCCTCCATGAGAGGTTGAGGGTTCAAGTCCCTATTGGAGCATAGTGGGGTGTGTGTGCATTGCTATTTGAAAATGAGATTAAAAAAAAATAATAAAACAAAAAAGAAGGGCAGTCACTAGACCTGAAAAGTAATTCAATTGAGCTTAGAAGAATATAGGAGGTAGGTATATAATTAAATTAGATCATTAAAAAGAAATTTTCCAATGAAGAGAAAAAGCATAGTATATTCCCTACTTATGAAAACAAGGTGAAACTAAAATTTGCATCAACAACCAACGGGCCAGTGGCCTAGCAGTATTAGCCTCTTACCTCCCAAAGGGAGATTAGGGGTTCACGTCACAGAAGAGACAAGTGTGTGTGAGTGCCAATTAGGAAAAAAATAAAAATAAAATAAAATAAAATAAAATTTGCACCAGCAATACAATATCTAACTTACGAGTCATACTACGAAGTACGGCAAAGTAAATTGAGTAAGGACTAAGGCATTTAATGAGAGTATTACAAAACAATTGGTTACATATAAAGGAGATTTACCAAAAGCATTTCATCCTCCAGGCAATTGGCAAAAAACTTCAATAAATAAATAAGGGAGACAACATATGTGTGGTAGTAGTGGTACTTTTTGGAGCACTCCAATCAAACAGGTTGGGAGTACAAATAGTGCAGTTCACTATTGTGAAAAAAGTAGTGATAACAAATGGAAGAAAAGTGAAGTTGAAATCAAAATAACATATGAATCATAAGAAAATCCTCAAAACCATGCTCTTGGAGGCATTTCACATTAGAAATAAGTTCCATAAAAGGGTATAACAGCGAAAGAGAACTTAGCAACTGCTTGGCTTCAGTGCAATGAGAAACAATTTAGTATTTAGTTCTACTAATAAGGGTAACAAACAAAAGAGCTGGTTGTAATTTGTGTTTTTAACCAGCATTCACGTGTGCAACACCCGCACTTCTCTCAAGCATAATGTCAAGTGCATTAGTTTGTGTACACATCAGCAGACAACCTGTAGTAGATGTAAGTAACAGCCCTTCCCTTTTCAACTACGGAATGAAATATTTTAAACCCAAAAATCAACTAATTTTTTAGTTACGGAAAATTATATCCTCTTTGGCCTTGCAATTATTTCGCAACATTCACTGCTTGCTACATTAAAGTCGGTCTTTTTGACTCTCTAACTATCTAAACCATCCTGGAAATAAATTATCATGCAGCTGCTTCCATCTGACCATACTACAAACCATGATCAAGACTGTTATTCAGAATCTTGATCTCATAATTCACGCAATATACATATCCAACAAAATTCAAATTAAAATATGATGTATCACTGCAAAGAGACAACACATAGTGTTGTGATCAAGGCAAAACCAGTAGCCAATTAGGAAGGAAAATGAAACCATGCAACAGAAACATCTAGCCATAGCATAAAAATAACATACTTTTCATTTGTGTATGTGTATGTGTGTGTGTGTGTGCATACACATAAAACTAGAAGTACCCAATCTGACAAAAAGATTAAAGTGTTTGAATTTTCATAAAAACAGTTGACAATTGGGTTTGATGCAAAGAGCCGCCTAACGCAGATGGGTTTTTGTTTGTTCACTGTTACAATTTGAAACACCGCGTTACATAAAATGTTGACGAAAGCCCAAGCGATCAATCCCAAAGCATGATTAGAAAAAATCAGAAGATAAAATATGAAACCCTAGCCGGATCAATCAAATGGAAGAAGAGAAAGACAGTGGTCTTACCTGAATTGAGCGAAGACAACAACTAAGGGTTTGTTTGGCCCTCTTCGCAACCCCTCCCACCACACTTTCTGAAATTCCCCTTATTCTCCGCTGGTTTTTCTTTTTCCCTTTCTCATTCATAAGTCTTTTCATTATTTATTTATTCTTTTGGTAAGTTCATTGTTTTAATATAATTTATATATATATATACTCTACTAAGTATTATATACTTTTGTAGCTGTTAAAAGAGCTTTGATCAGGTACAACTTCCACTGTATAGACTACTTAGAATTCCATGCCAAGTCAGAGTCAACAAAAAAAAATTCGAACTCGTTTTGGGTGGGTCCCATTCACACTTTTACTATTCAACGGATGCACCCACAGTGGCGCGTAGCGAATTGAAATTAATCGAGCACAGTATTGAAGAAAAACTCAACGTTTTTTTAATGAGTTGAGGAATACATTAAAGAGGATTTTGATACTAAAATTATAAAGATAGAAAATAATTCTCCAAAATTTAGAAAATAAATTTATTTTAAATAAATTATAAAAGCTTATATTTTAATTGAAATTTTATCAGACTACTATGAAAAAAAAAAAATTAAAAAAAAAATAATAATAATAAACTTCAATGAAAGTTTTGGGTCCGAGTGGCCCAGTAACTCCACCCAAGTTCGAGCCCAATAGAAGGTTAGGTAGAAAATTTTCAAAACCAGACCCACCTTGATCCACAAAAATTTGCCAGTGCTCGTACAAAAGACATAGGCGGGATCGGTTGGGTTCCGGGTGGGCCCTACTCATGTTGCACGGTTAGAGTTGGAACAATCTAACAGTATCGACACTAAATTGATTTGAATGGATAAACAAATTAATTTTATCAAATATGTGAGTAAACTGTAAAGTATACTAACAATATATTAAAATAAACTATAACTTTGGTGAAAAAAAAAATTTAAAAACTTATAATTTGTAAATTATTTTATAAATATTAGTTTACTTGTATGCTAAAAGTATATAAAGTTATATATGCGGAAGAAGATGATCATGTTAGTAATGATGATGGCACAACGATGATCTCAGTTATATAAATGATGTCTACAAGATATGGTGTTGGCGACATATGTATATATATATATTGTCGCACAACTTGGTGATGATGAACAGGCTGTTGGGAGAAGAATTGTACTCCTACACAAATTGCAGTGGTTAACGAGGACACAGATATGGGGGAAGTTAGTGATGAAGTTGGGGATATGCGAGTCTCAAACCCTCATGTGCTTAGAAATGTATGTAAGGAGTGTCCAATATATACATGACCAAGGGCGGCAAAAAGGCAATTAAGGTGGTCCCCAATAAGAGATGACAATTCATATTTCATTATATATATATATATATATATATATATATATATATACACACAAAAATATAAATGATAAGACAATTAAGACAGTTGCCTAATTCTCCAATAAAAAAGAAGAAGAAATACTAGTGTTTAATAATAATATTATATATATGTGTGTGTGTGTTTGTGGGGTCACAGGACTCAATGATAAGACAATTAAAGCGATTACGTAAGGTTAGAAGAAGATGACACATAACTCATTAATTATATTAGTTATTATTTTTTAATACTGGTTATATATATATTTTGATGAGTAGCTATACATATTTCTTTTAATAAATTAATTAATGTTTCTTGTATAATATTGATTACTAAATAAATACAACTATTCTTGTATTGGCCAACTGTTAGTTATATATATATATATATATATATATATATATTATTTATGTTTTGTGTATTGTATTAGTTACCAAATAAATACAATTGCTCATAGTTCGATACAAGTTTATTTTATAATAGATATATATTGCTGTTAATGAATTATTTATGTTTCCCGTATGGTATTAATTACCAAACAAATACAATTTCTCTTCTATTGGTGGTCCATACAAATTTCTTTTAGTTTTATCTTATAGGCCTTGCAAGCGGTTATAACAATCGTAAATTTACGGTGTATCTTTATGTTTTCCGTAAAAGGTCGAAATCTCCATTGAAGGACTTGGTTTTAAAGAAAACAATTACAACCAAACCAATTCTCAAGCCGTTTATAGAAATGAAAAACAGAAACCTGTTATAAACCAAACCAAACACTCCCTATGGACAAATATAATAATTATTATTATTAAACAAGAAACAATAAAACTCCTAATGTACAAATTAGAACCAGCAAAATATATTTCTATAAAGAATACATCTTGTCCTTGTTCATCACAGAATCCTTATTTCTATTACTGTAGATTTGTAATTCATCTCATTGACTTGACCTTTAATTCAATAATATCTTACAACATCACGAACTAATTTACGTATATGAAATACCGAAAATGAGGAGTTCTCTTCCACAACAATTTTATCCCAGTTTATGAAACATCAAATAAAGCCCTCAAAGGTTGGTTCCCATGTCAGAAGTCATTACCAGCGCTGGTTCTATCTATGCAAGGTGTTGGAACGGGATGTATTGGGAAGATCTAGAGAAATGTCGGAAACCCTTGGCATTATATTTGCACAAAGTAGCTGCTCGCTGACTTAAACTTGTGTCCACATCATGCTCATCGTTTTAGAAGCTATGGATGCAGAAATCGGTCATCTTACTCTAGATTGAAGAATGCTGTGCTATACTGTTTCACATAAATCACCAGGCAAAGACAACTTTTATGAGTTTGAAAGCGGCTGTAGTTCCTGCTCACGAGAAACCACGTGTAATTCTTGATCCGGAACAGTTGCATCAACAGGCTTGTATGAAACAAGTGATTGCTGTCTCCGTCTCCAAATAAGCCATGCCCCAGAAGCCGATAATCCCAGAATTAAGGTTACAATAATTGCTACAACCACAAACAAGTAATGTTGCTGCCACCAGGTCCTGCTTCATTCCAAAACAATTTGGATATAAAAGAAAATCTTAGATATATACATACACCACATGTACAATTAAGAATGCAAATGGTATTTGTGAGGGGTAGGTTCACAATAAGGAGTCTCTAGTCTATGTGCCTTTCAAAATACAGGTTTACCAAAACCATGATAAAAACATGCAAAAAGAGCCCTAGTAATATACTTTCAAACCCCCCCACCCTACCAAAAAGGAGGGGAAAAAAGGGAGGAAGAGAGAGAAAGAAGAAAAGAAAAGAAAAAAATGACAAAGAACTAATGCAACATGAGCCGGGGATGTCCAAAAGAAGTAAATTGCATACCTTTTTGGTGGGGGCTCAATTTTCCATCCAACCAATTGATATCTTCCAAACGCATCAGGAAGCTGCATGCGATGTTCAGCTAAGCGGGAAATTATACTCTGCCAAAAGAACATAATTTTCAAATAATTCATCCTAATCTTCTGCAAAGAAACTCAATGCAAAGCTACAAACTGCAAATTCACCTTTGCATTGGAATTAGAAAAGTAGTCAGCAGAGCCTGCTGGCAGAACAGCCCATCTTACGAGAGAATCATTTCCTTCAGACGTAAAATTAAGTAGGTGGACCTGAAACCATGCATTTCAGAATACAGGCACCCATGGGGTGAATGACGTTTAAGTTGCAAGAAATACGGATTAACAATAAAAATAATAAAGTTGAACTAGCAATCAGAAAGTGCAGCGCATTAGTTTCAGATCAAATGCTGCAACAAGCGGCTATAACAACGATTATGCATTAAATCCAAAATAATTTTACCTGTGAAGCATTAACATCTAACTCCTGTGCAATGAACTGAGCAAGCTCTGTGACATGAGGTTTTAGGTCCAAGTACTTGACATTCAACAGCATATTAAACGTTATGAATCCAACTTGAAGTTCCCCTGGACAACAATGATAATGTAGATATATCATTAGAGATTACTCATTTCAAGAAGAGGGATATGATATTGGGAGAGTCATGGAAGAAGTACTCCAGGCATTAAAATTGTTTGCATGATGTCTTCCAAAATTTAAGTCCAGTTTACGGTTTAAAATAGTCAACCAGCATATATGTTGAGACGTTGCCAGAAAAACAAAAAAAAAAAAGGAGTAGTAGAAAAATAACTATAATCACATAAAAGCTTGTGCATTCGGATAAGTAGCAATTGAAAGAAACGATGATGAAGTTAGAAGATCACAGCCTATGTTGCCCATATGGTAACACACATAATTCTACACAACATCCTGAACTCAACTCAACCATGGCACCTTAAATCCCACCTTGAGGCCAAGCACACAAATCCTTCATTGCTATTCCACTTTATTTATAACCATATCTTCAATTAAATCATAATATATCTCATATCTTCAGACATCATTACTTTGTTTTAGGCCTTCAACTAACTCCTGCATCACCTTCAACTGTAATGAGAAATAAATCATCCTAATTGGTGCATTAGTCAATCGTGTTCAGAACTCAAACGATTTCCCTCATTTGGTTTACAAAAGGTGTTATTTCCAGCTTCAGAAAAATGCGATACTTCCTTATTCAGGGGCGGAGCCAGAAATTTTATTTTAGCATGAAAATATTAATTATGAAATGGATTCAAATAAGATAGGTGGGAATAGGATAAAGGTTACTCATAAAATGGTAGCTTACCATACCTGGAATAACAAGCGGTGGAGGTCCAATAGGGGCAAATGCAGGTGCCATATCTGCGGTTGAGTTTGTTCCATTTAAGGTTGAAGGCGACGGCGGAGGAGCATCAAGGATGTGAAGTCTTTCCCATAACTCAGAACAATTAGTTTTCCAGAAACCAATCTTTTCATGCTCACGATCATACACAACAAAAGTATTGCGGACAATGATTCCTGTTACAAAAGTACATTTACATTGAAAACTCACAAAAGTACCATTTTAAAAAGAAAAGTAAGTCATCTTTTAACATATTACGGGGAAAGGAAAGAAGTTTTTTACAAAAAGAGGGATGTGTGATGGTGAAAAATCGTTAAAGAGCGTTCGTTTGCACATAAAATACCTCCTAACAGAGTGGTTGGATCATGTCCATTCTGAAAAATCCCCAGGCAATATGCACCATGCACCTTTGAATGCTTAATATGGAGAAATGAATCCAACAGGAAAATAAATTATCAGTTGGTGCATATTAAATTATTAATTTAACAGTTACAAGGACATCAGGAGCCACACCAAGATATATTGTGCAAGGCTCAAAAAAAAGCAAATGAGGAAGTCAAATGCTTACCTGGAACAAGTAGTTTTCAGGAGATAATGACAGCTTCTGTCCATTGCCAAATACCATGTCAACTGTTGGAAAGGATTTCGAGAGTTGTGAAACATCACTGAAGCAAAAATCAACAAAATATATTAATTGCAACACTAAGAGAAGTAATTAAACAATTTATTGGAAGTTTATTTCATGTTTAGCCATAGATACCCTCCAGCACCAGAGAAGCAAATATCATTATAATTTGGGTCAGGACCACGAATCCGTTTGAGCGAGTGGAGTTCTTTTATGATCTGCATGTCACCCCCAAAAAAAAAAAAAAAAAATCACATCAGGAAAAGGTAACTGAACAGAAGAGGCTGACACTCCATTGAATTGTTGCATTGTGAGTGCATCAGAAAAAGATAATAGCACTTCTATAGGCCAAATTCCTTGCATTATGACTTCAAGTTAATGGTGAAAAATTAATTGAGGTGCTATATGCAAGACGGGCTCAACTTGCAGAGTCATAACTTAATTTAAATCAACGCTTAAAACTCTGTTTTAAGGAATGACCAGCAAAAGGATGGAGCCTAGTCCATGAAATTAAATACAATCAGCTTCAGTACCTCTCAGATGGATTACCGCCTAGGCCTTGGCAGGAGTGGTATGTCCTCAACCTCCCTAAAGGGAAGGAAAAGGGCTCAAGATTCATTAGGGCCATGTGTACGAGTTTATAAGCTCTGGACATCATGGGCAAGATATCCTCTCTGTTTCTTCTTCTAAGTCAATGTAGTTCAAGTATGCCTATTTTTGCTACTGGAGAAAATTAGTTCATTTATGTTTCTCAACAAGGAGAGAGAGAATGGAATATGAAAGTCACCTTGCGTGACAAAACTCAACTTTTGCATGCAGTAAACCTCAATCTTGGCATCTAAGTTGGCTTCTCAAAGAAAGAAGCTACCGAAGATTAGGATCAATCAAGACCTCTTAAACCTTATTATAGTAAAAATTTGCTTGTGCAAATAAAAGCTTGAAGCATTTAATATGACAGAAAAAAATAAAATAAAATAAAAAATAAAATAAAATTGATAAGTGAAAAAGAAAAAATATTGGCAAAATGTTAATGTAACCTATTAATTTATAATTGTTATCTCTTTGTACCAGCTGTAATTTCTTCATGCCACTATATTTAGAGATAGTGTTCTAATCTGTTATAATGTACAAAATTTATTCATCAAATTAAAACTATAAGTTCCCTTTTTTGTCTATCTATTGCACATTATTAGTTCATTTCATTTTTATCACAACACTAGGCAGAGGGGAAAAAAAAAAAAAAAAGCAGTCCAGCTCATGCGTGTTGCACAGTTTGCTTAGGTCATACAGAACATGAACTAACAAGTATTTGCCATAACCCAAATATATATATATATTAAATAAAAAATCTAAAACTAAAAATAATTATCAAAGGAAGAAGATAAAACTTAGAGAAAAGTGAACTTTACAGCATTCTTAAATGCTACAAATGCTGCTTCTGGTAGGTAAGCATATGTAGTACCACTATCAAGGACGGATCCATGTTTTCCATCAAAAACCTTTGGATTTAAGGGCAATGGCTTCCCAGCAACAAGTATCTCCTTCAGATCAATATTGTAATATGGACTGTCGCCATCCCAAGACTAAAGTAAATGTGTGAGATCTATCAAATGTATTTGTTAGAAAAATATAAAGTTTTACATCTAGAAGATAAATATTTTAAAACATACCTTCGTGCAGGGTCTGAATGGGTAAAGACCATGTCTACAGGGGTAGAGATTTCACCAAGAACCATAGCGCCACCACCAACATCCATCCCACCGTAACACAAAGAAAAAGAATCACTAATTACACCTCTGTCAACAAGTTGATCCACAACACTGAGCTCTCCACTGCCCAAACCCATTATGCCATCAGCATGTTGACTATAAAGGTCGCCAGTTTCCACATTTTCACAACCAAAAACAGCACGCTGGGGCAAAAGTTCACTTTGATTACCAAAGGATATAATATCATCACCAAGGACACCACTGCTAGAACTCATTTCAGCATACTGTCTCTCATAAACACATTGCACCATGTCATTGTCACAGGTGCAATCGACATTGCACTTTACAGGTTGATAGGTGCTAGACATTTCGGGCTGGAACTTAGGATCCTGTTGAACAAACAATACTCAAATTGTCTAGAAGAAAAAGAGGAAAAAATCACACATACACACATGCATACACAAACATATATAACATTTAAATTGCAAATCAAGCAGATGCTGTGTAATAAGATTTCACTTCTGCTCAATCAGTAACCGAAAGTGCTCACATATAAAATATATTTTGCAGAACAGTTTGAACATTCACTCACTTATCAAAAAAAAAAAAAAAAAAAAAAAACAGTTTGTACATTCACTCAAACTAGACCATTGTACAAGGAAGTAGATAAAATCAATGTTTGGAAACGAGCAAGAAATATATAATTTCACTGTATAACTCTACAAAGAACAAAATAGAATATAATGTTAATTGATAATTCTGCCTTTATCGTGCTTAGTGTCTTATGTTTATCCAAACCTTAAAAATAGAGGAGGTCTACTTTGAATATTTGACAACATGGTTCACCAACTCGGCCGAGTCGAATCAGAATCGGTCTCCAACAAGTCCAAGTTGATGATGGGGAGGCTCCAGCCTTGTTCATGAGTCAGGGTGACTCGAGACGGAATCAACATATATCGAGGTGAGGCGACTTGCTGTGACTCCGGCAACTCAAAAAGTCGGTTGTGATGATATAAAATGAAGATCTAGCTCATTTGGCACCATTTTCTCACCCTTTTTCTCAACAATCGTTCTCTCTAAACCATGAACAACTTAAGTTTGAGCCTCAAACATCAAAATCAACATAACCTTAGATCTTGAATCAAACACACCCCAAACAAGATTTATTCAGTGACATTCCAATTTTTTCTTTGGTCTCTTCCCCATCATTTCAAGTATTTTTTTAGATCCCTGCTAACTTGATACTATGTTGTTGAATAATATATCAATGTGTTTTTGTGGAAAATTTAATTTTTTTTCATTTTCAAGTCTATTATTGTTCATTAATTTAGTAACGAGTCTAAATTATTAAGCCTTTACTGCCAACCACGACTTGAAATTCATGTACAACTGTACAAGTCATTACTTGTATTAATTCACTTTAAAAATTCAACAAAGATCATTAAAGTTCATTAAAAACACATTTATTGGATTATGTAGCAGAAGTTGCGTCTCAATGTGTTTCGGACCCTATGCATGGGATTAAACAAAATATAAAATCACAACCGTGAAGCCCAACCCCGTTACATTACGCCCATTACGGCCCCACGTCTGTGACTACAAACCATTTTTGACAATCAGCACTAAAACCTTCGTCAGACCCATTATGATCATGAATTTTGACTCCTGAGAATATTTTTAGTAAACATTAGGGGGGTTTAATGAGGTGGGGCCGAATGACATGACATAGTTCATGCAATAGAAGGGATAGCACAAGACCGCAATTAATAAAATAGAGTGCTAAAAAAAACAGATTCAGATTTATACGAATATAATTCGATTTTTCAACAAAAACAAAAAACAAGGAAAAAAAAAAAAGTGAAAAAGTCTGGCATGGAAGAATGGAAATGAAAATGTACGAATACAGATAAGTTCGGATCAGATATTATTTTCTCTTTAAAAATTAGGAACTTTAAAATAAATAAATAAAAAGAAATAGAAGAAGAAGAAGTTCACATAAAAAATGGAAACAAAAAAATATGAAAATGGATAAGTTCAGGGTACTATTTTCTATTTACAAATTAGGAACTGAAAATTCGGCTATATATATATATATATATATATATATTCTTTTAATGTTTCACATTCTCGTATCAACTAATTACATAAAACGACAAAATAAATTTATTGTGCATAAATACATTTCACCAGCTTAATCAAATTCATCAAAATCAACTCCTTGAACAAAAAATTTCACTGAAACCTCATATTCCAATTCCACCAGCAAAAAGGATTGAACCGGACAAACCAAGAAAACCCCACATCAAATAAAATGTTTAACAAAAAAATTAGATTTTTTAAAAAAAAATTTTATAAGTAAAAAAATTAGATGTTCACATCAATAAACGTGTACATATGTATTTTTTCTACGACAACCAACCAGAGGACTAGAGGAGACTGTAGCTGCCCAAGTTTTGATCCAATGATTATTTGGATTGGAAGGAATTTTCAGCCATCAGATGGGGGAGAATGCTGCAGACCCTCACATCAGCTGGGTGAATTTGACTGATCTTGTAGCAGTCCCTTTCAATCCCAGTCACCTCCATGAGAAAGCCATTTGGCTTGTGAAGACATTGCTGGGTTATGCCAATTTTTTACTCCCCCCCTACCCCACAACCCCAATTCTCTCTCTGATCTTCTATTCGAGCCAGATCTGATGTCAATTTTTTCAATCGGAGCTGAATGAACGAGTTCGATACGGTTGCATTGACAAAAACGCAAATGATACTATATAGTTCCCAGTGAAACATCAGATGGATGTCTTGTTGAAAAGTTCATACGTACACGAAATTCTTAACAAGGGACAAGACTTGGTTATTTTCAAACAAAACTTCTATATACAAGCCATTATGTTAAGATAGCTCAGAAATGAAATTCAAAAATTCAACATTTTTGTATCCTATTGATAAATATAAGAATTGCCCTTTCTTGTGCTCCAATTCTTTTGATGCTTCACTGTGAAAAAGTATACATTTTATACAGCGATGGAGCGCATGCTTCGAAAGTAAACACCATGATAACACCATTCTTTGCACGCACAAAATTATAATTAAGAAAATGTTATAACAGATCTGCATTTTGATACTTTAACATGTATATAATCTATACCAACACCTCAAATTGTTGCATACTGTCTCCCTTTGAAGACAGAGAGTGCAACTAATTTTATCTAATTTATATTTAATTTAATCAAATACAAATTTTTTTTTTTTTTTTGGATAAGTAATCAAATACAAATTTATTACCAAAGCAAATGAATCAACTTGTAATAATCATTCGAATGAATTATTAACATTAAAATGAAATAATCACCTGGTGGGTGCCACACTGTTTGCACGTAGAGCAGGGGACGTATGTGACAGTACTCCCTGTATCAACTATAAGAGCGAATTCCTGTGGAGGAGTTCCAATCCAAAGTCTGGTGGTATAGTAACTGCAATACCAATCCAAACAACACAGTTCACTTTGTATCAACACATAAGACACATATATATACATGATACATATAAATACATACATCATCCTTGCTTTAATCCCCATATGAATGGGTCGGCCACATGAATTCTCTTTTACCATTTTTTTCTATTATAAGCCATCTCATCTATAATATTTAAGCTCAAGTAACTCCAATCATACATCTTAACATTCCCATTTCCACTACCTAAATGTGTTGTTCTTTTAATCCATTTGTTAATTTTTTAACGCGTAAAATGCCCTCCATTTTGTCCCTCCTGATCCAATTCTACTACTTGTATTACTATTTATCTCTCCATCCTTTTGTATTATTGATCCTAAACATTAAAAGTAATTATTATGAATAAGCCTTTGGGTTTGAAGAGTGACTATTATATTATCAATATTTGAATTTGTATTAACTTTATATTCCATATACTCGGTTTTGGTTCAATGAATTTTAAATCTTTTTAATTCTAACGCATTTTGCCAACAAAATCAACCAAGCCTTTTCACAATTACTTGGGGTCGGCTACATGAATCCTATATTTCCATTCCGCTCTATTCAAGGCCATCACCTCAACCAATCCACATGCAATCATATATTTATTTATTGACTCTACCCACATTAACCTTGGTCTTCATCACGGGTTAGAAAAGTGACATAGTCCACATGCAATTATATATTTATTTATTGACTCTACCCACATTAACCTTGGTCTTCATCTTCCCCTAGCATCACCTCAATGTGGACTATGTCACTTTTCTAACCCGTGCACTTAACTGTCTTCTATGCACATGCCCAAACCACCTTAACTAATTTTCTATCATTTTATCTCCAATTGATGCTACTCCAACCATCTCCCAAATATGATCATTTTTAATTATATCCTTTCTAATATTACTGCACACCCATCTCAACATTCACATTTCTGCCACACTCACTTCATATTGCATTTCGCCACATTTCTAATTTTATTGCTAAGTTTTCTTTACAAGTATCCAACAACACTAAATCATTGGCAAATAACATGCAACACGAAATGTCTCCTTGAAAGTTTATGATTATTTCATATTAAATTATTGCAAATAAACATTGACTTAGTAGTGCTTCTTGGTGCAATTTTATGTCGCAGAAAAATCACTAGTCTTACCATATATATAAAAAACTTTGGTTTCAGTGTTCATATGCATATCCAGGGGAAAAAAAAAAATCTTTATTATTTGTATAGGAACTTGTTTTCTTATAAAAACACCAAATTATCTCATGAGATCATATAAAAACCATATAGTTTTTTTGCTTACTCCTACATTCCTCAACTTGTCTTATTAAGTAAATAGATCCCATTCTTGATCTCCCTGACAGAAATGCAAATCGGTTATCGAATTGACGTAAGCGAATGCTATGAATGTTCACAAGGAGCGATAAACAATTTGAATCCACAAAGTAAGAAAAAATCTGATATTGTATTGATAGTTGAATGAATAAATTAATTCTGCTCTTTGCAGTACAAGTATATACAATAAACGATAACCTAACACTAGAAGGAAACTACTAATATAAGGAAACTAATCCAAAAAATAATTTCTCTCCAAAAATTCTGAAAAACTAAAATAAGAAACCTAAACAATAAAAACAACCGAAAATAAAAATTCAGAACAATTTGACTTGCTTTAGACCTCTAAGAAAAATCATGAAATATTCGGCAGCCTCCCTACAACACTAAAAAACGTGATTTCAAAGCCCTAAACGAAGGTTTTCAGCTGAAAACCAACATGGCCCACAAGCTAAAGTTAGCGGGTTTTTCACAATGGGTCGTTTCCACCCAAAAAACACTTCTTTTGGGTCGAAAACGGACTTGTCAAACTGTCGTGCATCACGAATACAGTTGATTGATTCCTTTTTTAATCTTTGTTCCATCACCTTTTCCAGTAAATTCATTATATGATTCATTAATATATTTTTTTAAGTGTGTCATCCACTTCCTTATTGTTTACCATATTTATCATTCATATATTAAATTCAATTCCTTTTGCTTCCTTTTCTTTAACTAGTATGTATAATCTATCAGCAATACATCTAATTCAGTCCATGTCTTTAGTAACTTAGCTCAACTCTTTGTAAATTTATAAATACTCTTTTACCCTCTTTTATATCTAATTTTTCATATAAATCATTTTAATGCATTTTGTTTAGCTTTACTTACTATCTTCTTAGTTTCATTTTTTAGTTTCTTATATTTTTTAAAAATCCTTTCTTGCTTACATTTGTTTTTTATCATTCTTCTAAACTTTTTCTGTATTATTGTGTTACTTCTAGTACTTCCTCACTCCACCAACCCATCTTCATTTGCTTTCTCCCATAATTTTTTAGAAAAATTACTAATTTAGTACCTAGGTCTTTCTTTTCATCATGCATTGTGCAATAGAAGTAAAATTTGAGGGAGAAAAATATAAGTAAAATCATTGAATTGTAAATTGATTCAAAACAAGTGGTATATAATCTAATTTTTTTTCTACATGCTCATTTTTTTTAATTGGTTAATGAACATTGCATTATAAATTTAAACAATAATTAAATTAATTTAAATTCAAAAAAAAAAAAAAACTCTGTATAAAATTCACAATGACTTTAATACATATATTCTATAAATAAAATAAAAAAATTAAAAGTTAATAAAATGTTATCTTTTCTTTTTATTTAAATTTATATCAGATTTTGTAACAGTATAAATGAAAGTTTGAGTCTAAATTTTATATCTAATAAGCAAGACAAAGTGTAAGATTTAATAATTTAGAACTTAAAATATATATACATATACACACACACACACACACACATATATGTTACCCGTTTAGAAGAAGATCGTCGTAGAGGCGCATCCGAGCGTTGGGGTGGTGAGCGTCGGATCTTTGGAGGTGGCGACGGGGACTTCCGCGGCCGGCAGCGACCGCACTCCGGGAAGAGTTGGGAGGAGAAAGAAAAAGAGGCAGAAACATGGCGTGGTGATTGCTGCCGCCGTGAGGTGGTCGGAGGAGGATGGTATCTGGATCGCCTAAGAGATCGGGCACGGCAGAGTAGGAACCGACGCCGGATGGACCGAGTACTAAGAATAATAAAATTAGGACGGTGGAAGTGGTGGTGATGGCGGTGGCGAACGGGGGCTGCGCCATTTGCTCAGTGCCGGCTCGGGCGATTGAAGATGGTCCGTGTTTGGAGTTGAATATGAGCAAGGAAGACGGCAAAGTCGTCTCACTCTCTCTAAAATTCTAAAGAAAAATAAGTATAGAGATAGATGGAGAGAGTATTCCTGGGGAGGGGAAGTCAGCGGGCCAGACGAATAAGACTATGCAACCTCTCTGAATTCTGACATACCAAAGTTAATCGACGCATATAAAATGAATGCCAAAACAACGTCGTTTTCAAACGAGAAGGACACGGAAATTACACAGGTCCCCTAACAATAAATTTGGGTATTTTCAAACAGCATTGTCATAATGTCATTGGATTTCAAACATTTCTTAGCAATAAAGGAAAATAATTAAATAAATGGAGAAAAAATAATAGTAGTGGAAAACGCAGCAAAAAAAAATAATTAGAATTTGGATTGTGAGAATGACTTCTGAGTGTGCGTCCACCAAATGGAATTCAAAAAGTTTAATTTTTGACAGAGCATCAATAGTTGAGAGTGACATGCATCAAAAAAGGAGCAAAGAAGTAGGTGGTCTTATCATCTCAGTTAGGTCTCCATGGCAACTAAAAAACTAGTCAGCAGCGTAAACACCTGTTTTATACAACAAAATTAGTTTTTGACTCAACACAACACATTCATGCCTCAAACATTCACAAGAAATGCAACCGAAACCTAAATATAATATTTGGTTCCATACTGCAGCAGAATACTTTCGGTTTCCAAACCATCTGCAAGATAGAAGCTTTTAAAATGCAGAATGGAGAAAGTTAATCATGCTTAAATTAAAAATAAGTTATCCGGTATGTTGGTCTAGCATCTCTTCTAAGCAAAATTTCATACAGAACTTGAACTATTTAATTACATATACGGTTGATGTGAAGACTGCATTCCACTACCCGTATAACTGCCATAGTTAGGTGCAGCAGAATTATATGTTGTTGTTGCAGTAACCCTGCCATCCTGGGGATAATATGACCTTTGATCATATGCTGGCTGTGCATATGTAGGCTGGCTAGGAGCTTGGTAATTGTAGGCGTATGGACCAGCATGCAGAATACTCTCCGACATTCCTGCAAATGTTGCCCTCTCATTAAAAACAGGTGCAGCTTGTCTAACAGCAGCAGGAGGAGCAGCACCGGGTGCATGGAATCCATAACGTCCTCCATTCGCTCGAGACTTGTTGAATTTTTGCTTTTTACCAAATTCACCAAACTTCCTCTTATCAGGCTTCGACTTCTCTAGCTGCCCAACCCTTCTCTGAAGTGGATCTAGTGGGTAGTCCACCTTAAGTCCATACTCTCGAACACACTCTATTACAGCTTTCAGTGCTGCCAGTTCTTGAGCATTTTCATTATTCTGTATAAGAAACTGCAATTTAGTGTGCGCTTAAGAGAAATGCAAACGAAACTTTAATTGGGGAGCCAAATAGTACCTGTTCACCAGCAGCACCAGCACCTCCCAAGTTACTGCTTTTTTCTTGCGAGTTTTTTTTCTGCTCTGTCAAATACGTCTTTAGAAGGGGCACGATTGGGAAGCTTTCAGTGAGCTGGAAAGCATGGACAAAATGTACCGCATCAATTTGTTTCCGGATGTTAATCAATGTTTCAACAACATCTGCAAAAAAGCAGGGATTTGGTAAATTCCATATCCTATTAGTAGGCATAGACCTTCCAAAATGCAGCAGCATGTAACCACAAGAAGTCTTGCTTATCTAGTTGATAATTGTGCATCTATCTTTCTCTAATAAATTTATAGTAATACTACCATCCCTTAGAGGGACAAAGTGAATGGCTTCTTAAAGAAAAATGGTCTAGTCTCCAGACCTCATCAGGTCAATTAAAAGGGCACCAACCTGGCATTTTGTGGGTTAATCCAAGAGAACGGCAGAGCTCAGGCATCCGCCTCTGGTGAGAGACTGCAAGAACAAGCTTGCAGAGTTCTTCTTCATCAAACTCTGAAGCAATCCTAAAAGTTGCAAGGAGCTGCAAAAATGCCTCAGCTTCCAATGAATTTCCATTGGCAGCAGCATCAACGTCTGCACTAACCAACTTAGCCTTCCACTCATCAGCAATGAGCCTAGCTTGCTGCTTAGTTTCAGGGTTCAGAAGGTGATCAGCACCTGGGTCAGCCTTTGCCAATAAGGTGGCCATGGCTTCCATAAACATAAGACAAAACCGACGCATGCCCTGAAGGGTAGCATCCATTTTATCCCCTTCTTGGGTACTGTCATCAGGAGGGTAGAACCCCTCCAGTGAAGCCAGCACCAAACGGCTTGGTTCAGCTGCACTTTCCAGTGCAACAGAAAGTTCATCACAAATGGCAGGTATAATTTTTTGATTCTCCATTATAAAATTCAGAAGCCCTTTTGCATCCATCTGCTCGCAAAATTGCGTCAGCTCTGGACGAGGCCTAACTTCTTCAACACCAACAGCCTTTTCACCTGTTTTATGAGGGGAATTCTCCTCTGATGCAGTAAGAAGTGCATTTGTACGACCAAGAGAACTGCTTACCTTGCTTTCTGTGCCGCCTCCACTCTCAATAGGCTCCAAAGATGCCGGCTTGTGATTTGCCCATGCCTCTGCAATGACAGCAACAGTGGCATCTTTTAGCTCCTGTATCCTATCCAAAAAATCTTGCTCTTTGGCAGCAACAGCCGCCTCTCTCTCCGAAAGCAATGCGTGAGTTTCAGATTCTTTATCTTTAAACTCCTTCTCCCTAACTTCTAGTTCTTCAACTTTCTTCTTCATAACTGTCTCCACGTGGCTCAAGTGTTCTTCAATTTCCATCCACTGAACACTATCATTAGCAGCACCCTTGTGAGCTTCCAGTTCAAGGAATGCCTTGCCAAGCTGTTCCATCAAAGAAGTTGGTGCATCGATTCCCACAACTTGATCCATCTCAGACATGGCTATGCAGAGTACTTGAATGAGCTGCAAAATAAACTAACCAATGCAATTAAAAGACAGAAGAGCAAATGAAATACCAATTAAACATGTCTCCACACACAGGCGGACCAACATGGGGACCAAAAAATATATGTGTGTGTGTGTGTGTGAAAAAAAAAAAAAAAAAAAAACCAAATAAATAGGTAGATTAGAATAGTAAGCTACAAAATACAAATAGGGTCTAATTTATGGCCGCTTCAAAGCTTACAAGAAAACTTTAATTTTATATTACTTTTGGAAACTTTACATTTGAGGAAATATAAAGAAATAGAAAATCTAAATATAATCGCTATATGCTTAAGGAAATCTAAAATAATTCAAATTATAAATAATTCTCAATATTCAAAGGACTCACCAACGGGCCAGTGGCCTAGCGGTATCAGCCTCTTACCTCCCAAAGGGAGGTCAAGGGTTCAAGTCTCAGAAGAGACAAGTGTGTGTGAGTACCAACTAGGAAAAATATATATATATATACACAAAGGACTCAAGTACAGTATATGTTTTTTTATTTTATTTTTCATACTACTAACTCTATTTTAATTTTCATGTTACTAAATTGGCCCCCTAAGTTCAAATTTTTGGGTCAGGCCCTATCACCACAAATGAGAAATGTAAACAGAAGCATACCACAGAAATATGTGTGTGTCCCCTTTTATGACCAAACTAAATCCTATATTCTACTTAATCCACATTCCAAAACTAAACCACTTATTATAACCCAAAACTGCTTTGAATTCCCAAATAATAATAATAATAATGATAATGATGATAAATAAATGAATGAATAAATAATGAGAAACATGACTTTAATCAAACACATGCAAAGACATGCAAAAGAATCAAGGTACGAAAATTCCAAATCATCAAAACCACGAAGTAATACAATAGGCTTCAAGATGGAAAACAAAGTTTCTTTCTCCTGAATAAATTTAGTTTTTGCTTTTCATATAATTAAAGAAAAGAAAAAGGAAAACATAATAAAAGAAACAAGGATGGAAAACAAAGGGGGGCTAAATGAATTCCTAAGGCAATACCCTCAGGCAATGGAAGCATGCAGTGTAATCGTCCACTCCTTTATAAATGAGTAAAGTGACCACGACCCCCTCATGGTTGGGACTTAGGATCATTATAGTGTGAGTAAATTTCACCTAAGGTCTCATGATATTAACCTTTAATCGCTATTTTTCATTTGTGATTGCTCACTTTACTTGTGTTATTTCCTCCCTTATCACTCTACCTCATTAGTGATTGTTTTGCTGTAAAGAATCTAATAGTTTTAGACTAGCTTTAGGTAACTAAAATAGGATAAGACCTATTCACCACCCCTCTAGGTCTAATTTGGAATTTTTAGCAAACTCTATAATACCAAAAACTTGATCTCAATCATTCCATCAATTGGAATCAGAGCGCATTAATCATCGTAGTGGCTAAATCATGGAATCACTTACGGAAGGTGGATCAAATATTAGACCAGTTCTGGCAGGTAGAACTAATTAGAGCTATTGGAAAGCTAGAATGAGGGCATCTATGAAGCATGGGCACTGACATGATTAGATATAAATACGACAATACGACAAATTCTTATAAATAAGATATAGATATGCAGAGGATAAGTCAATATATATATGTGTGTGTGTGTGTATTGCATTAATGTAGATTTATAAAAATTTATACATATATGTGTGTGTTTAATAAAACTGTATATGAACAATAAAACTTGATTTCTAAAGGTCTGAATGTTATTTTGGTTCAGTGAGCCAAATGACTTTTCTAGGATATCTATGTGCACTAAATCTAAAGAAACATAGGAAGTTGAAATCCTAGAAACCACACACGAAGGAACATTAGCTATTATTGTCCATTTGATCTAAGATATAGGAGGGATGGGAAAAGGGATAGAAGAGAGAGAAGGTATGGGAAAAGGGATAGAAGAGAGAGAAGGAATGGGGAAAAGGGTTGGAAAAGGCATTAAAATGGAAGGGAGGATATCCATACCTCCTTTGTTAGGCTGAGTGGAAGGGAAAATTGATGATATTACTATGTTAACACTGTACCTTAAAATATTAACACACTTAAATGAGGATAATGGCATCTTTCAGTTTTATTTAACAAAATATCCTTTTGTCTCATCCCTCCACTTTCTCCAAATTTTGGATGGAAGCAAAATGGTGACTCATAGTAATGTTGAAATTTTTTAAAACCATCATTGATAGGTTCCAACCTAAAGAATTGATGGTGAAGAGAGTAAGGCACGTGGTTGATCAAGGTCAAAGAGTGAGTTGGTTTATTTGAAGAGTTAGGAACTAAGGGCTCGTTTGGCAACTACAATTGCTTTATGCTTTTGCTTTAATCCGAAGGAGAAGCAATATTTCCGCTTTAGAGTGTGTTCAACACTATTTCGAAACTTGTTTGGTAACGTAAATTTCTTACAAGATTTTTGGAAAAAAAAACCGTGAAAGCATGTTTGGTAAAAAGTGTTGCAAGTTTGAAATTTTGAATGGCTAGTTAAAAATGTTAATTTAGAAAAGAAAAATAAAGTTTTTTTTTTTTTTTTTTTGAACAATACTTTGCTATAGTGCGGAAACAAACAAAAACATCATTTTGCACTTCCGATTTTGGCCTCAATTTTGGAAGCGCTTCGGTACCATTCAAATGACATCAAATGTTACCAGACATGTTTCTTGTTTTTGCTTTGCTACAGTACACTAGCAAAAGCAAAAAACAAAAAGCAAAAGCGTTAGCCAAAGAGGCCCTAAACTTCTCCCAAATCACAACCAAAGAAAAATTAAGGCATTGAAATAATTTAAGAAGAGTCTTAAGAATAGCAACATTAATGAAGAAGATATGGTTCCTCTTGAAGTCTTATCAGAAAGTTTAAGCATTTTTTAAAGAAAAAAATAATAATAAGTTAGGAATTTCAGAAAAAGATAATTCTTGAACTACAAGGATGACATTATCAAACAAGAATTAAAATTTGGAATTATAATGGAAAATATCACATGACAAGCAATTGTCCTGGAAAGGGAAAAATAATAACAGAGGAAAATCATGGTAAAAATTCCAATAAAAAAATTGTCGGTGCAACAATGAATGTAAAACAATTCATTTTCAAATAATGTGGAAAATCCAGAACAAAAACAAAAACAAAAACAAAAGGCCCCGCGCGCGCACAGGAGATTTCCCAAACATTTATCAAGGAAAATAAAATATTGGCAAGATCCTCGTGATAGAAAGGATTAAGCTATTCCTTCATGTCAAACTCTATGCCTTCTAATCTTACTTTCGTAAATTATGAAAAAAAAAAAAAAAAATTTCTTACTTTCGTACTACATTGTTTTTATTGCAAAATAAATGGTAACCCTCAAAAGTATTTCTGTTTTTAAAGTAATGAATTTTGAAGCAGTCACTCACCCAAAATAAAAATAACTGAAGCAATCACTCAAACCGTTCTAACTTCTAATCACTCAACAATTAGAAAATTAAAAAATCAAGCGAGACATTTCTGAGTAGAGCAACAACCAAAAACAAATATCAAATAATAATACAATAATACAAAACTAGCGCAAAAAAAAAAAAAAAAAAAAAAAAAAAAGACGAAACCCTAAACGATACCAAAAGAAAGGGAACCAAGGATATTTATGTATTTGATATTTATGTATACGCAAAAATTATTTTTTGCGTGTGTTGTGTGTGTGAATATATATAAAGAAAAAAAGAAAAATATGGCGTACCTGAAAAAAGTGGGAAAAAACCTTCACGAGACGGAGGTGTGGTGAAGAGAGAAATAGATTCCGGACACTCTATTCTCGGAAGGAATTCATATCTCCGGTGAGAGAGGACGGGTCCAAGTGAAGTGACGATTGGTCATCAGATGCGATATGCTCTGAAGCTAATGTGTAGAAGATGTAAAGAAAAGCTTTTGTTTTTACACAGAGTAGGAAAGCCCGCTACAGATAAATCCCTTTTTTTTTTAATGATGACTGAAAACTAAGGTTAAGGCGGTTAGTATTATTAAGTGTTACTCGTATAGTAAATGTTTTCGTATTAGTTTATACTTTATAGTTATGTATTTATAATTTATTGAATATTTTTAGTCAATTTTAATTTCCAACAAAAATTGTTGAATTATTCTCTAAAATAGTACTATTCTTTTTTATTTGAAAATCAATTGAATATTTTTTTATTTTTTAATAAAATAATTAGTTACTTGTGCAATTTATACTTTGACAAAATAAATCAAAATTGTAGATAATGCATTAAAATTATTCACTAATTTTAATAATGATTTTTAAAAGTTAAATATAGTAAGCAACTTGACATGTAATGTAATGGAAAAGTTTGAAGAGAGAAAATTTATATGGCCGACTTCATTCACATGCGATTAAGGCAAAGATGATAGAAAATGTATAAATGAAGATTGGGATATTTTAAATTTGTGTAGAAACATGTTTCAAGAAGTATGATTTAATAATAGCCTTCACGTTGGAATAGACCTGAAAAAAGTAAAACTTTTTTTTTAATCAATCCTAATGATATTAATTGTCAAAAAAAACTTGGTTAATATTGAAGATAAAATTAAAACAATAAATAAAAAAGAGGAGGAGAAGAAATGCAAAATTAAGTGTTATTTCTCTATTTACTTGGTATGGTCAACTAAGAGAAAAATATGAAGGAAAGAAAGGAAAATAAATTTTCTTTCTTAATTAACATCTACTTACATCTTTTATTTGTTGCATAACTTTTTGAAAAATAAGATTATTTACAATGTTGGTTTTTTTTTTTTTTCCATTGATTTATAATGTTGGTTAAGCAGGAAAGAAATATGGATTAAATCCATTTTATTTTGCTTTTCCCTTTTCTCATTAAAATTGTCAAAATAAATAAATAAACACTCATAAGAGGCATGTATTAAGGCCGTCTGTTAATATAATAAGAGGAAAAACAAAATAAATGATTACATTAATTATGAAAAATTTTGTTTTTTTAAATGAAAAGATAATGTTTATTTCTTAGCTTCTTTCCGCAAGCAAGAAAACATATTTATTGATTAGAATCAGAAATTACATCCAAACGAGCTTTATGCAAAACAAACTCTAAGAAATTATCATCCCATAAACATGTACTTTTCTCTTGTAAAGTATAAGCAGCAACTGCATAGGCAACTCATTCCCTACTCTAGGCATATACACCAAATCAAAATCAGGGTGATGATGAAGCCATTCACGGATATCTTCTACTAGAGGGCCAAGTAAAAGAGATGAAGACCCATCCAACATCGCAGCCTCAACAATGACCTCTGCATCAATCTCAAACACAATGTGACTGTAACCCCAACGAATAACCTGGTCCATAACCTTTCGAAACACCAAACCTTCAGCCACTAACGGATCTGAAACTCATTGAAAGAAAAAAGAAGCCAATCGCAACACCTTTCCCCTATGATCACGCATAACCATTCCACCTCCAGCCTCACATAAGACTTCGCAAAATGATGCATCAGTATTAACTTTGATCATGTCTACTGGAGGAGCTTGCCACCTAACAGGATTCCCATAACTGTTTTGCCCCGAATAGTGTGATCTTATAGTAGCAAAAGGAGCAACATTACAATTTAAAAATTCAAAACAGTGAGCTTCTCGAATTCTAACTATCTCCATTGCATCCCACCATTTTTGCTCAAACACCCAAGCATTACGCGCCTTCCAAATCTGCCAACAAAGAAAAGCAACCATACTCTTCATCAAAGCTTATACGATGTCATGAAATATTCCTCTTCAGTGTTTATTTCTTAGCTTGTTTGGTTGATTAATGGAAGGAAAAAGAAAGTATTAACCTTGGAAAATATAGTGAAGAGAAAACAAGGGAAATGATGGTTTTATTTTGTGAGTGATTCACTTTCTTTTTTGTGTGTGTGTGTATATTACATAAATAAACAAAGAGCAATACGGTAATTACCAATGGCTAGTTTGGTTCAATTTTATGTTTTCAATAACTTATTTGAAAACTAATTAAAAAAATGTAGTATATTTTCACAAAATAATTGTTTATTGTTATCAGTTTTATGAATTATTGAGAATTGTTTTCAATTAACAAAACCAAGCAAACACTATCCTATCTTTTTCCTCAGTATATTCCACCTTAAACATGAAAAAAACAAAGTCACCGCAAGAGATTAACGAGTCCCTCATTGCCCCTCCAAATTCGTCCATATTCTCCATTTTATCAAAACAAACACAGCATAATGTTTTTTTCTAATTTATCTTGAGTACTCTAGCTCACAACTCACAAGGATGCCTGCAAACTGGAGATACAACATAATTTATATCAGTATGTAGATCAGAGAATGTTCATTCCAGATAAAGCAAAATATTTCTTGCAATGGAAACACATCTAGCAATAAAATATATAATCTGTTGCTGCGCTGAAGGAAACTACTATTGTTTCAAAATTATCAAATGGCATATAATGATAAAGTATTTCTTCAGCTACCATTTGTTGAGCAGAATTACACACAAAATAGATTCACCCAACCTAGGTATCAATATTGTAAGGCAATTTATGGCTTGCTCTCTTCTCATCACCTGCCTAGAAGCAGATTCTCGCATGTCAAATACATGCTGAATCATTGTAGCCGTCATCCTTGCTTTTATCCTGTCAAATATATGCCGAATGCATACCAAAATCAGACAAATTTGAGCGAACGTAACACACATATATATATAGAGAGAGAAAGAGTGCAGGAACTTGTCACATTGTATTGCCCAAATCAAGTTGGAACATTGCCAAATTTACTACAATATTGTTCTCTACAGCAAACACACAAGTTTTTAACAATTACACATGCATACATTGCTTTGTACTTTTTGCAGGGCATTAGAAGTATGTCTATGTAGCTGCCTGCTCAGTTCTTCCTTTATGGTACTTCATATACAATTCAAAGTGATGATTGTTATCACAAAGATTCTACTTCTTTTCATTTCTTATGGCACAGAAAAAACTACTATAAGCCACTGCTTCAGACTATTATACGTATCTAACCTCCTGAATCAGCATAAATTTAAGGATATCCCTTTTCAAAAATAATCATTAGCTGTACCAAGACGATTTAACATCCAACAGCAAAAAGTACTGCATCATTCCAATACTGAGTCTGACCGTGGACCTGGATAATAATTATTCAATTCCCCGACTTCGTTAGTCTCTTGGTTGGTAAAAGACCAACCCAGTTAGAGAAGGTAATGCCCCATGAAACAAGGTATATTATAAACACAACATATGCAGCTGTAAAAGTGGATATCACCGAGCTAAACAACACTCCACTTCCTTCAGAAGAGAAAAATTGCAGCAAAAGATACCCGTTGATTACAATCACCAGGGCAGCCATGAGCCACGAAGCCATCTATGAGCAAAGAGCAAGAAAAAGAATGTGAATTCATAGCCACTTATCTTCATTTACTAACTAAATTAAAAGTAAGACAGTCAAAGCAATATGCAAAGCTTACAATATAAAACATGGATTTGACTTTTTCTTTGTGCTTTATGGAAGTCATAAATTGCAAGAGCAAAACAAAGAATATGGCATCATTTATCAAGGAACAATTTGGTAACAAGATCTTACTCCTGTGACGTAACAATGGCAACTAAAGGATTAAAAATACAAGCATGAACACCGGAAGAAGATCACCATATTTCTTTTGAACACAGTATCAGCACGTTTTCACCGTGATTTATAGCAACAATTAAAATGTGGCTATGACAGTCACTTTGGTAAAGCTCATCAATTTCTGTTCTTCAACGTCATTAAGGACAACTCTAAATGAAAAGAGCTTGGGGTATTTACCGAACCAAGAAAAAATCAACAATTGAAGAGCCTGACATCAATTATCAGGCACATATTCACTTTTAGACAAGTAGTAGCACTCTGATTCACTATAAATGGAATTATTATGGAATAGGAGGGACAAACAAACATATGTTTATCACTAACAATGTCTTTCCCACAAATATATGATACAAGTCATTGACGGACACAAAGAATTTCTTAGTGGAAAGGGGGGCACAACTCAAACAATGTTACCACTCAATGCAAACGGGAAGCGAAACACATGCACGCAAAAAACATATCGACTTCGTTTGAATATTTGTGTTTTTTCAAATTATGTAGATATCAACATTGTCATGGAACTTTCAAAATGAATTGAACTGGTAGTTATAAGCACAATGGATTCCATCAAAACATCATTTCCTCTATTCACGAATTATAAAAATCAAATTCAACAATTTCCAAAGGTAACAAGTATATAATACCACAATGATGTCAACGACTCGAGGCTAAATACGATAGCATATTCATATGTAAATAGCAGATAAAACATGTTGATTGATTGAGTTCTATCAGAAGCACTCAAAATTTCGATTTCAGTTAATGATTGTAATTACAGTACTTTTGATTGTACAAATTAAGTAGCAAAAGACACTGGGGGTCGCCAGATCTGTGGAAAACTATGAATTGCAATTTAAGTAATTGTACAATCAAGTTGTAAAAGAAATGGCCCAATTGGTCATCAAAGACTTATGGGCAAGATGCAGAAAAGGCAAAAGGAGAAAAAAATGTACCTTGAGTACAGGGCCAATTTTAAAAACACCCATGATCTCCTCCTTGGACACCAAACAAAGAAGAGGAATAAGTGCAAAGGGTATTTGAATTGACTGAAACACGTTAAGCCATTCATTCATAACATCTAACGTGTCCTCAGAGGTATCAAAAACAAGAGCTACTATCATAGTTGGGACAATAGCGCAGCGTCTCGTTATCAATGCCCTAAGCCATTTTTTCAACCGCAAGTTTAGAAAACCTCCCATGATAAACTGCCCAGCATAAGTGCCCGTGATGGTGCTACTTTGGCCAGCAGCTAATAACCCAATACCCCAAATATATAGAATCAGGATCAATCCTTTCCCATACTTCTCCTGAAGATACTGCCCTGCATTTAGTAGGCCAATGCTTATTGGCTACATTAGTACCATAAAATGCTTTTGCAAAGACAGTTGTAACGAATAGATTAATTATAAAAGAAAATATAATGGCGATGGTGGACTTTATGGAGTAGTAATTGATGGCTTCCTGGACTCGGACAATCTTGCCACGGTTGATCTGTCTTGACTGCACGAGTGCAGAATACAAGAAAACATTATGAGGCATAATAATGCAACCCACAACTCCCACAGCCTGATGAATTGTTTTTGAGCTAAGTTTTGGAATCAAAAGACCTACAACAGAGTCCAATTTGGCAGCACTTTAGATTCAGAGAAACTAATAGTATTTAAATACAAAAAATGGAAGTGCCAGATATGGTGTAAAAATCGACTACATCAGGAGAAAGAAATTCTCACCAAGGAGAAGTTCTACGCCATTGGGCTTTGTTTCACCAAACATCCATGCAAATGACAGTGCCATGGTTGCAATGAGGACAGCGAAAACCGCTTCTAAATTTCTCACACCATAATTCTCAAGAAGAACTGTTACAAGACATGAACAACAAAGAGAAGTAAATAATGTGGTTATTTTGTCACTTCGTCACTGTTTGTTCTCAAGAACTAATTGGAAAAGGAAAAACAGTAAATTCGAGGACGAGTTGTTCTAAAGTTGGGGGGAGTGATGTATGCACATGTTTTGGTGTAGTTCGTCTAGCTCGTACCCATTTCCAACAGTTGGAAATGACTGATTAATATTCATTAACTTTGCCTTGTGCTCTGTGTCAAACTTTTAGCCAAATTTTATAGTTTAGGTCCAAAAATCGTGAATTTTTTTAGTGTTGTAGGAATACTGTTGAATTTTTTAGATTTTTGTTGGAGGTCGAAATGGATTTAGAATTTTCTAATTTTTGGTAGTTATCTTATTTTAGTGATTAGGTTTTATCTCCTATTTCGTGATTTTTAGAGACAATATCAAACTGGACTGTTTTTTAAAATTTCTTTACACATCTATTCATGTTATTGTAAGAACATATTACACATTCATTGTCATAATAAGATTTCAGTTTTCCATCTAACCTGAGCTTGACTTTTGCTTTGGCATAATTCTCTATTAGCCTTGGCTTCGTCATTTTTTTCCATTCAATCAAATGAAGGATTTAGAACTTTAGATATTCATTCCTCCAATAGAAGAATAGTTAAACAAATTGAGCTGCATGAAGAAAACCTAATATTGCATCACAAAATCCCACAAACACCAATAGAATTAACCAGAAACAACAATCCATAGTGTTGTTGGTTTCCTTGATGGAGTCGCCACAACCAACAAAGCTTGAAAGTTGTGTGTGAATTTAAGAGGTGGCCAAGTTTTACATTTATAGAAAGCCACTACTACCTTTCTCTATATAAAATATAGATAGGGCGAGTAGGGATCGTCCCAAGGGATTTAATGGTGTATCGAATTGTGAAACTATGATAATTAGGGTTAGTAGGTCGAATGATCACACAATTGTTGATTGATTGGTTGATTATACTAAATGAGCTAAACTATAATAAAGCAATGCAATAAGATAAAGAGTAAGTAAGAAGGAAAGGTCTTGGGGTGTAGAGATCACCACCAAACAATACTATTCCAAACCATAATCAAGTGACTAATGAGGGAAATGAATGTGTTGCAACAATGTTGTGTGTGTAAAAGACATTCAATTGGTAACGGTGACTCATGATAAGCGCCGAATATTGTATATTCAAGCGCCCTAAATTGCATTAGTTAAGTCCATCGTTTGATTATTTAAGTAGATTATCTTCATTTGTGTGTATGTATATATTTTCAGGTCCATTTGCCAAAAAAGGAGCAAAATCAAGGCTTTGTGGAGTTTTGGCCATCAAAAGGCACAATTCTGAATTTCTGGCAGTAGTGGAGTCAGGACTTTGCTTGCCATTTTGACCTTGCAAACTCGAGAAATGAACTTCCATTATAAAATGGCATATTTAGAGCTCTGAATCAGCTTTCCAAATCTTCAAGAGGTTTGTCATTCGGAGCTTGGAGCAGAGAGTTATGGCCTTGTTACCAGAGGTGCGCAGAACTGCCTGACAGCAATGAAATTCTGCCTTGATCTTCATTTTCGACCAACCATCCTTGAGAATTGGATCTCCACCAAAACATGAAGTTTTTAGAGCTCTGAATTAGCTGTCCAAATCTTCAAACGGTTCATAATTCGGAGCTCAGAGCAGAGAGTTATGGCCTTGTTACCAGAGGTGCGCAGAACTGCCTGGCAGCACTGAAGTACTGCCTTTCTCCCCATTTTCGACCAACCAAACTTGAGATTTGGGTCTTCATCAAAACATGAAGTTTTTAAAGCTCTGAATCAGCTCTCCAAATCTTTAAACGGTTCGTCATTCAGAGTTCGGAACACAAAGTTATGTCCATTTCATCAAAGTAGGTCTGGGCGGAGCAAGTGAAGCATGGAGCTTTTTACACTAAATTCGAGTGCTCGAGGCCCTATTTCGAGCACTCGAAATTTAAGCAGTTTGCTCCACGAGACAGCCCACTTGTGCTCTGAAATTTCCAATTTTGGATGGCCCTCTTTTATGAGGTGGTTGGGGATGTTTTTGGAGGAGAGAGAGAGCTTAGTTTGGTGGTAGATAAGAGGGATAAGAGCCA